AGGGACCGATCCCACGCCAGTCTGTGCTTATGCGACTGCAAAGAGGAGCGCGGCGTCACCCGTGCGCATCACAGCCCGCTCACAAGTTCACTGCTGCTCTGCTGCTCCTTTTGGCTTCAGCTGGATCCTGTCACGTTATGACCGGATCCCTCATCGTGATGAGGTTAAGCAGTCTGACGTTTCATCAACAGGAAATACAAAAAATGTTTTAAGGGCATCTCGGCCCCTGATCAAATAATCCCCTGTATCACGAATTGGATCACGTACAGATTCGTTAAAACCTGAGGGTGAAATATATCAGTCAAGAATCATTTGTTTACTAAAAAAACATGGATGGAGAACCAACCGGGGGCCCATTCGTGTTCACTGTCTGAAGGGTTATGATTTTAATACTGCTCAACCCAGAAGATTTTGACTAAACGACATTCTAGTTCAATTGATCATTTTTAACACTGTAAAAACTGGGATTAGCGTTAATTAATATCTACTACATAAATAATAGTAATCGTTACATAATAAAAAAGATTAAGTACAGTTTTGAATTACATTGAGCTGAATTTAATAAATGCTGCATATTTATTAATTACATGCTACTTAAATTTGCTTGAGTAAAATCAGCTGTGAATCACTGAGTAGACTTTAATCATATTTTATGAGTAAAGTTTAATATGCAGGAAAATGATGAATTTGAATATGCAGGAAAATGATGAATTGTACTCATTTAGTGTTTTCAATTGAGTGACATCTCCGTCCAAGCATTTTGAACCACGTGGACATCCGCTCCACAAGGGATGCTGTTCTCCTGAAGGTAACACCTCTGTAATTATTGTTACTGAACATTGTTGAAGCAGTTTAACATTATTTTGCTCTTCTGTAAATGGACTGTACTTGTATTGCGCTTTTCTAGTCTTCTGACCACTCAAAGCGCTTACATGACATCATTCACCCATTCACACCCATTCATACACTGATGACAGGAGAACCACACACAGTGACACCTGCCATCAGTAACTAACATTCACACACTGTAGTCGCAGCTACAGGAGCAATGTTGGGTTAAGTGTCTTGCTCAAGGACACAACGACATGCGGGTTAGCCGGGCCTGGGATCGAACCGACAACCCTCTGATTGGAGGACGACCGTGCTCCCCACTCACCCACAGTCGCTGTGAAGTTAACAAACATGCCAACTTTACTGCGCTGTAAATGTATTTAAGTCATTAAGCTAACGTTAGTGGTTTTATGTTGTCATGTCGTTAGCTAGCTAGCTTGGTTAGCTTTAGCTAAGAAGCAGCGGCACACAGAGAGACGCATTACGGGTGATGTTTGCAAAAGTAGAAACAAACATTCTTGCTTCCAAAGGTTAGTAAAGTAAGTTAATGAGGAATATGAGTTATATGAATATCCCTGCACGTCGTTTAGTAAGTAACTTTAACACGACAAGCTGTTAAAAGCAGCCAGGTTTGACCAGGTGGCTTTAATGGTTAGTGAAACTAACTGTAAACGCCAACGTTACATTTCTGGAGAATAGTCAGTGAAAGAAACTAACCAAGAAACCTGACGGTATATTAAGCTACAGTGTGTTGATGTGTTTTGTGCACGCTGTGGCCGGTGTCTTGCTGACTATCACAAGTTCACCGGCCTTAGTAACTTAACGTTAGTCCCGCAAGTTCCAAGTTTTCTTGGAGCTGGACTGTTCAAACCTTTGACCCTTGGAGAAAAAAATGGGATTGTTGTTACTGTTAGAACTCTCCAATGTGGTTACTGTTTGTTCAATGCATTTTAATTATATTTTTAAGATTCACATTGAGAAGTTTAGGTTTGGCTCTTTCCCGGAGTTCAGTTTTAGTGTTGCTATCTAGTGTTAATGCTGCTTGATTTGTGTTGTTCAAATGTATATAAACCATGCTCATTTAATGCAGCTTTTCCTGTATGTATTTATAGAAATTTTCACAAATAAAGTTTAACCTGCTGTACTTATGTATGATGATGTGTTTGTTAAGTTTACTGTTACACAAAAATGTATTGAGTGAATTAGACATAGAAAAATTGTGGCAACAAAGTGACACGTAATTGTACTGAATAGATTTAGACAATTAATTTAAGTCCAGAAGGGCAATGGCAATGTGTTGAATTAACTAACAATGTGCTAAAATGTGAGTTGATATAACTTATTTTATTCAGTAAATCAAATTTTATTTAATTAAAACACTCAATTTCACTCAAATATTCAGTAACTGCTAATCAATTACACCCAAATATGAAGTAAATATGAATCAATTCCACCCAAATATTCAGTTACTGTAAATCAATTACATCAGAATATTAAGTAAATATAAATCAATTCCACCCAAATATTCAGTAACTAAATCAATTCCATCCAAATATTCACTAACTGCTAATCAATTACACCCGAATATGAAGTAAATATAAATCAATTCCACCCAAATATTCAGTACCTGTAAATCAATTACACCAGAATATTAAGTAAATATAAATCAATTCCAAACTGTAAATCAGTTTCAATTAAATATTTAGTAAATGTAAATAATATTCACCCAAATATTTAGTAATTATAAATAAATTTCACCCAAAAATTAAGTAAATATAAATTTATTATGATGATTTTCTTAGTAGACATGAATCATTTTTCCTTGTAAAAATATTTTAGATTTAATTATTTCTTTCAATAATATTTGCTTAAATGTTGAGTAAGTAAATTCTAATCAATTATATTAATTGTCACTTTGTTGCCACAATTTTTTTACGTTACCATTGGTCACATTTTTTAGAGTGTAGGATATTAGAAATAAACTGACGACCCGGTTCATAAATTAATAAAATACCTATAGTGTACACCAGAATACAGCCATGATCCTGAAACTGTGTAATCAATAAAGTAATGACAATATTGTAAAACCACTGTAATTTTGAAACTGTAATCAATAGAATAATATCAATGTACAGCTATAATTGTATTTAATGTAATGTAATCAACTGGAATGCATGAAATAATTAATAGCACAACTGGTATTGACTGAGAGACATTTGAAATCCGAGTTACAGTTAACTCAGCAGAAGACCACTACCAAAGGTGTGGACACTAACTTTCACACCTTTACGGATCTGTATGAATACCTGTAGGCAACCATTGTTCTAGAGTTCGCTGGTGGAGGCAACAGTCACTATGGGGGTCAAAGGACTGACCTGGGGCCTGTTGGTTGCAAAGACCAGCGGCTCTTCAGCTGAGATGTTCTTTTTACCACAACACCCTTTCTTTTATTAAATACTTTTCATTTTAACCTTTCGATCCGCGATGTCCTTTGTCCGTTCAGCATTTATTCATTTTGATCACAACACATGCTATTCATATAGTTAACCGCCCTACAATCTGTATGTTTAGGCTATTTTCCCATCCCTAAGGTCTAAAAAGTTCATAGAATTTATTATGGATTTAAACAAGTTCACACAAACTGGAGCTCTTGGATGGAAGCATGGTCAATACAAATCAGAACATGTTAATTGTACTTTGATCCTCTACACAGTATGCATTCAAATGTTCATCAAAATACAGTGTGTCAACAGTACAAACAATTATATAAGCATGTTGTTCGTGTATGATGAAGAACAGCACCTTAAAAGCAGCCCCCCCTCTCTAAGCAATAGGTTTCCGGTCCACAATGATGAAGGGCATCAACTCCAGGAATGTAGTGTGGCGGCTCCTGTAGTTTGAATGAAACACATAAATCTATACTTGTATACTTAATGTAATAAGCAGTTAGACATATTATATCAACTTTCAACTCACACTTGTTATATAAACGGCAGCACAAAAACATGGCGACGTGTGTTGAGCTTGTTTTGGGGTTTTCTTTCTGGCCTTTTGATGAAGGAGGCAGGAGATGCGAGATCAACAGAAGAGATGACACAAATCTTGTATATGCTATTCAAAAAAAGAAGGAAACAATGGAAATAATGCAATAGGTCATGCTGGGTGGTCTGGGAACATAGAAATTAACACGTTGAGCTGCTTGTCAAGCCGTGTTTTGGCATTAGCTAATGTGAGCTAACTCAATGCTAACAGCTCACAACCCAAACACGGCTTAAGTAACAAAAGGTTACCGAGCTCAGGTAATTGCTCAACATGAAAACGGTCCCTCAAACTCTTTTCATTGCTGCAGTTTTGGCCATTTCTATCATTAGCATTAATGGAGCGTTTTAGAGAAGTAAAATAAATCAGCTAAGCAAGTTATGGAGTGTAGCGCTGGCACGCAGTGTAGTAAAAGGCTCACCGTGCCACGAGAGAAATATCGATATCAAAACATAACAGAAATAAATAGTCTACAATGTAACAATAAAGTTACAAACAAGGTCAAGAGCAAAGTCCAACTGTTTTCATGTGGGAGACTCACCGGCTTCCTTCAGTGAATTTACACAGAATTTGCACTAAATGACACGCACAAACACTATAAATATACTTTCCCTTTAGACACTCGGTTTTAACACTGACAATATTTCAACAGTTAAATGCAAGAGATTTAATTGGATCCAGAGTGTAATTAATTACTCTCAGTATGCTTTGTAGAAGGCCTCTAAATAGATCTGCATTGGTCCAATGCCCCCTGAAGGTTTGCAGTTAAGTGCTGATGAACGTATGCATTCATGTTGGTGCTGATGGTGCTCGTAACTAAAACTGTAAAGAAGTGAATCCGTTCCTGATTTATGAGGAGACCTTGAGAAGCTTGTTAAGGTCCCCTGGAGGACACCGGTTTGGGACCCACAGATTTAGGTCACCTTTGTCAAATCATGTGCTGAAGCACAGATGAGGCTCCCAGCCAAAATAATTCTCAGACGTGTGGACCCAAATCCAATTCTGGATCTATTTAAATGTAGGTATAAAAACAAGAATTTAACCTCCATCTCAGCTGGATTCTGTTGGAGTAGAATACTCTAGTATACTAAGAGTGGAGTGGGCGGACATACAAAAGTATCACGCAAATCTCTGATTATATGATTTCTTAATTTAATGTTCACAGTACAGTATACACATATGATTTCCTTTACATCTCACAAACACAAAAGCAAACAGTTAAATACGTAGATAACTTTAGCACCAGCATAGAGTACTGACCCGCTCAGTGTTCTAAACTCTTATTCATAGTGATTTTCAAAATAAAACACCTCAGCTTGATCTCACTAGGCATGGCTTACATGTCATATATGTACAGCAGCATTCACTTAAAAAGGTTAATTGATTAAAAAAGGATGCATACCGTACACCAAAAGTGGCATACAAAAGCAATACTATGTAATATACCCATTTACATTGACGTTTAGATTCAATCAGTGTAACATTTAAGTTTTTTATGTGTTTGTATAGCTTCTGTATCAACATAGAAACATAGAAACGTAGAAATGTATGCATTAAAAAAAGCATTGAGTATACATGAAGAGCCTGTGGAGATAATTGTCATGTAACAATCTTGCATATTGAAACATAAATATATAACATTCACAATGCTCTCACTTTTCTCTATATCAACTACCAAGAGAGCTAGTCTTTCTACTGTGTGAAGGATATGCTTTGTTTTGGTTAGTGGGATTTTTATATTAACATTATAATTAAAAAGAATTCAATGGGAATATTACTTTTTTTTACACAGTAATGTCAAAAATAGTATTCAAATAATTTTCCCTCAATCATAAAGCAATGTTGTATTTAATGCAATGTTTCTCGCAGTTATAGATACGGTATGTTGTCAACTTGGTAGACATGACATTCTATAGTGAGATTATATTATATATGTGTATATATGTATATGTATATATACAATTACATATACATATATATGAAGATTCATGAGACAAACACTTTCTTCTTACCGATTACAATATGTTAACGGATGCGTTCATAAATTTCCTCGCAATTTGGGCCAAAAGTAGAGTAAGAACGCAGGAGAAGAGGAGGGTGAATTTGTGATTATCACTACATGACGTCATGGAAATCTTCATCAAAATGTACCAAGATGGTCCCAAGTGGACTTCATGTCTGGAGATCAAAGGTCTGCCAGCCACTGGGAAGAGAGAAGGGTTTGAGGTGTTTCCTCTACGTCCCTCATTTATCCAAGCAGATTTAAGAAATCATAGTTTCTGAGAGTCTCTCGGTTTTTCAAACCTTTAACAAAGGGGCTTCAATATTATTATGTAACAGTCAACGTAAAACAGACCTGGATTTGCAGTTCCTCTCGGCTTCACAGAGCTCAACGGCAGGTTATTTCTTGCCTGTCTGGCCTCAACTTTTAGTATTTTGAATCATTCCCACTAATCTGACAGTCTGTTTTCTGAGAAAGCTCTAAAGATCAGCACCGAACAGCAGACAACACGACAAGCAACTCATGAGCCAGATAGTTTGCTCTGGAGTTGATGAAGACCAAAACTGAACGAAAAAAGGGTTGCATTTGGATTTACATTCATCGAGTGGCATGAAGCACTTGTAAAAAGCAGCCATAGAGTTGCTGCACAACTGTTGTTGTGTATATAAGCACCTATCGGCTAAAGGTTAGCCATATAAACCTGTGATGTTTTCACAACTTGTTTTTGCTGCTCTTAAGTGTAAAATAAACTCAGTTATTGCAGGTTTAAGGAGGGATAAGTTAGGGTAAAAAAACTTGCTAAACATATTTTTTCAGCGTCTCGCTCTGAAAGAAATACAAAATTACCTAAAACAACAGCAACCTGGTGGATGTTTCCTAAACCGCTCGTTGGAGAAGCTATCATTCACTCTACCTATACTCAACTCTGTTGAAATTCAGTTAAAATGCAGCTATAAGACTACAGATGAAGTTATATCCATGCGGTGATACCTGAATGTGTCACTTTCGTTCATTAATAGCATATTTTTCAGGCATTAGTCAAATCATCTGCAAAGTCGCAACCTTTTTGCTTTATCCTTTTACAGTAGATATATGGATGATACATCTTTCTTCTGAGGACCATTCTCTTTTCCCATTCACTCCAGACCTGAAGACCTTTTCTCAAATGTATAGTTATATAGTGTTGAAGGTTTTCAGAACTTATTCTGCTTTAGTTTGTCGATGTGGTAGCAAAGCTTCAAGGCCGGCCCCAGCTTCAGTCCGAGGTACTTCATGATCATGTCGCTCTTCAGCAGCAACAAAGCATTCCCATCGATCTCCTGAGGGAAGCAGAAACAAGAGGTTGGTGTGTTGGTTTCGACTTCAACGTCCGCTAAATCAGCAGTGAAACAATTTGTCCTGACATGAACACAATGGCGAACAAACATACATGTTTCCTAAAGACATCTGAGTGAGGCCCGAGAGACTGGGGGTCCGCATCCCTGATGAACCAGACGACGTCGTCGACACACCAGGTGGTCGGGTCCTTATTGGATGGAGCTTTGGACTCCTGGGACTCTGAAGCTGCATTATAAATGCCTGAAAGAACGACGGAAATGAATAAAGTCCTCGGAGAAATAAGATAAAGACTCTCGGTTTTGTCTTTCCATGACCTCTCACCTGTCCTGTTGCTCTCTGGGAAGGTGCTTGGGCTGGTGGACGACTGCCTGCACATGCTCATGGAGGCCGATCCGTTGGAGAACTGCTGTGACGAACGAAACCCGTAGGAGGACTTTGGCGAGTAGGACGAGCTGATGGAGCTGAAAGCAGAATCTCCCGGGTCGACGGAGTAGCGCTTGCCGTCGGACTGGTCTAAATGGTAGTCCTCGGCCATGGATGTTTCAGCTACGGAAAAGATGAGAGGCAGAATGAACTCGGAGGATCGGTTTGTATCAGAGTAGCAGCCTCGAGTGGAGGGATTCCAAGCTACCATCTGACTGGTAGGAGCCCAGGCTGTGTTGGGTAATGGGCTGATCGCTGAAGAGGTTTTCGCAGTGCAAGCTGCGGCAGAGCTTCTTCAGGAAACGGAGCACGTAGTCGATGCTGTTCACCACGGGGAGGCTGAGAAGGTGCTGCTTCCCGTCGAACGTGGCTGGAGAAGAAAAACAGGAGAAAACAAAAATTCCCGTTTTAGAGCCACAGAGTAAATCATTGAGCTGCTTTACCACTGCCATGGTTCTGCAGTGAAACCGCTGTTAAAGTGGTGGGAAATAAGCTTATTGAACAAATAGAAAGCAACACCTGAGCGAGGTCTTTTTACAACACCTGATATTTTTTCTCCCCCGTAGCCCTGTGTGAGGAGAGTGAACACTGTTTTCTGCTGGAAGGCGCTGTCGATGCAGCCTTGGACCGCCTGCTGCAGCACCACAGAGGGCCTGTCGGGTCCGAAGTGATCAGGGAGCTGCTGGATCTTCTTCCTGTCCAGGTTGGAGCCCATATTGGCCTGCTTGTTGATGTAAATGCAGACTGATGGAGAGAGAACACAGGCGCAGACCGCATTGGGGTCGGAGAAGGGATGGAGAAGAGATACCTACACCATGATGTGTCTTTGAAGCAAATCCAGACTGCGTTCATTCAGCCGACGAGATATTTAGAGGTTTTACCTGTAAGCACCTGGGGCGTGGCAGAGTGGGGGATGGTGGCGGCATCCTGAGGAATGGAGCTCATATCGGGCTCAGGGGTGCTACTCGGTGGAGAGATAGCCAACGGAGTCATCACCATCCTGGGTTTGAGCTGCAGAGAAAGAAGTTATTGCGTTGTTTATTTCAGCCCTATCATTTATTTAGTAAATGGTGCAAGGAGGGGGATGGTGGAGTAATCAGGCCACACAATTGGGTTATCTGTTGTATGTTTGATTAACAACTTCCCCTCTTGACTAAAATAGTTCCATATAATTGCAAAACAAAGCCTTGCATATGTTAAGTATCTCCGTGTTACACTGGGGCCCCACTAAATGTCAAGGGAATGAAGCCGGTGCGTCTCTGTCTTTCTGTGTACACACATGCATTTTTAAACACACTGCATCCACACACACATGCACACAAACTCACACACGGCCGTACAGCTCATCCCCCAGTTCCCCCCTCTTGTGGCTGACCTTGAAGCCTGGCTTTCTCCCCCTCTTTTTGGGCACTTTGAGTGGAGGGAGCGACTCCGGGTAACGGTTCGGAAAATCCATCTTGGCGACATTGCGGAGCGGGGGTCTCCCTCTCTTCCTGCCTGGTATCTTCCCCGACTGGCTGGGGAGGAAGGAGGGAGCCACTGCAGCTGATTGCATGTCACTGTTGTTAACGTCTGATTTCTGTGCCGTTGCAGCAGGTACACTCATTTGGAGCTGGAGACAAAGGAAACAACACTGAGCTCAAGCTGTAGAAATGCATAGAAACATGCACTCCCCTTGCACAGCAATCCTCCTGCATAGCAACTATACGTTAGAGAGCAGCATTAGCATCATTTTAAAGCCGACACAGAGGAAGCAGAATGGCTTGGCAAAGCTGAAAAACAGCAACATCTACATAGTGAAAGACTGCAGAACACTCAGCTGTGCGATGCGGTAAGAGGAGCAGCATTTAGCAGAGCACCATAATAAGGAAACAACACAAAAGGCAGCCATGCATGATCTGTGGAGGAAACAGCACCTCCATCCTGCACTGCTAACACACTAATAAATCCGAGAGAGGGGGGGGGGGGGGGGTCTATTACCTGCTGTCTTCTATTGTGAAAGCCCAAGAGCCAAGCCCTTTTTGTTTTAAATCCCAGGAGCCTAGATGACTTTAAAGCTAAATCCCTAACAATGAAGGCAACGCCATGCTGCTCTTTCTGTTTGTGGCTATTTCCTCGTCTCCTTTTTGGTTAACACACTGCTGCTGCTGCTGCTGCTCGGTACACAGGCTGCAGACATCTCATTAGACTAATGCATTCAGCAGTGGCAGAGGGAGGGGGAAATTGACTTCACCATGGCTACACAGCCATGAATTACCATTACGATGACAGCTCCCACCCAAATTTAAAAAAAAAGAAAAAGGACGCGGCAGCTAGACAATATACATTATAGGCATTTGTCTCATGCAGCAAGAATGAACAAACGGTGGCTGCCAAAATGTATATTTTTTAAGCAGATTTTTTCAAAAGGATGCAGCATGTAAACAAATAATAACCGGTCAGCAGGCACTCACCATCCAAAACAGATGTGGAGTGTCCCTACGCTCCTTGTTTCCTATATTTTTCCTTAGCCCGGATCTCAAAGCAAGGCAAATCCCACTGTAATACTGTACGTATAGTATGTGTGCTTTAGTGTGTGAGTGTGCACAAAAGAGACAGACAGAGAGTGTGTGTGTGTGAGTGTGTGTGTAGTTGTGTGCGAGTATTAAGGAGAGACAGAGCGAGAGAGAAAGAGAGAGAGAGAGAGAGAGAGCGAGAAAGAGAGAGAGCGAGGGAAAGAGAGAGAGCGAGAGGGCTCTTCTGTTGTCATGGCAACAAGCCTGTAAGCCCCTGTAATACCCTGTAGGTTGTCTGCCATGTTTTTTTTGTCTGCTCAGTACTGTGGAGGTAAAATTAGATTGAGGACAGGGTTTCTATGAGATATTTTCTTCATATCTGTAGTGGGTTTTAATCAATCAAATATGAATGAAGCTATATGTTCAGAGCTTCAATAATGATGGTGGTTAATAATCAAGACAAAAATAATCTGCATTTGTTTTGATGTTTTTTTAAAGCGTAAATGCTAAATATTTGACGCAAGTGTTTTATAGGTAAGAGGACTCATCAAGGAAATAATCAGTTTAATCATTAAATAAAAAAATCTATAGATATATATAGTATCCCCAAGATAAATCATTCAAACTGCAGATATCAATATTAGAGCTGAAAGGATTTGTTTATTCATTAATTATTCTAATTAACCTTCATTGGAAACAATAGTAAGGTATAAATGTTCAAATAATCGGCAGAACAATCTAAAATGAAAAATATATATGGTTTAGTTGCAACTATAGATTCATTATTTAAACTGTAGTGATCTTATATTACCGCACAGGAAACAGGGGGATACAAGACGAGTGAGTATATTCATAACTATATTATGTCAGATCACATGTAGTGACTGTGCGTGTATGTATGTGTGTTGCAAAGACGTTGATGGTCCACTTCTACACGGCCATCATGGAGTCCATCCTCTGCTCCTCCATCACCGTCTGGTACGCTGCAGCCACAGCCAAGGACCAGGGCAGGCTGCAGCGTGTCATCCGCTCTGCAGAGAGGGTGATCGGCTGCAATCTGCCGTCCCTGCAGGACTTGTTCGCTTCCAGGACCCTGAAGCGAGCTAGAAAGATCGTGGCCGACCCCTCTCACCCCGGACAAAAACTGTTTGTGCCCCTTCCATCTGGCAGGAGGCCGAGGTCCATCAGGACTAAGACTTCCCGCCACACAAACAGCTTCTTCTCGTCGAACAGTCGGGCTCATCAACAGAGCCGGTCCCCCACTGACTGACTGTCATCCCTTTTTGCACTGGTCACCCCCTTCCCACTCCACATGCACATACACCTGTCACTCCACTTGTCACTTTCTGTTCGCTGGTGCCCTTTATTTTTTACTTTTTTTGTTTTTTAACTTTTTTTAACTTTTGCACTATGTTGTCTTATCTATCTTGTTGTCCATTGTCTTGTCTGATGTTATGCAGCAACCGGCAAGTCAAATTCCTTGTATGTCTAACATATTTTGGTAATAAATGTTCCTGATTAAAAAGTAATATGCCTTTGACAATTCTCGCAGCTTTTTCCGTGAAACAGATATTCAGTTTAAAATCCTCTAAAACTAAGAAAGGCAGCAAATCCCCACAAGTTGGAACCCAAACACAGTTTGTATATTTGTTACAGTGTGACCGAAGATAAAAAATAATATCCTCCTAAAATTAGTGATTATTTTACTCCGGGGATTGAATTGATTTCCGCCCCCTGCTGGCCGACGTGCTTCTGTTTTATACTTGTTTGCTAATAAAGTTTTGATTTGAATCCAAGATGGCGGTGTGCAACATACCGCTGTCTCTGAAGATGTCACCCTCAGCTTTACTGGGTTTTAGGTTGGTTTTGACAGAAAAATACTCCTCCAGAAAGCTGCTAACATCTTTGACAGAAGTCTGCAGACGAGGTGAGACAAGTTTTTGGTGAGTTGTGTCTATAGTGATGGAGTTGAAAGAGTAAACCGGTGGTCAAGTTCTTACTGAAAACCCTAACGTACTGGTAATAAACACTTTATATGAAACATCCGCTTAAAGTTAACCTGGTATTAATATATAATATTTAATATATCATTGGCATTTACATTCTCATTATTTTATCAGCTGTAACCGGTGTTTTGTTAGCTGTCACGTGCAGATACACAGAACGAGCTGAGTTCAACGGTTAACTCCTTGTGACGTAACGTTAAAGGTCACTCGGGGGAGGCCCAACAAGCACCGGGGGTCAGCGGTGGAAGACCCGCCGGGCCCCGCGGACCCCTGGACCACTACAACGGGCTGATCGGGGATGGGTCGCTGCGGGAGGATGAGCACCAGAGAGCGGTGATGCAGACCCTGGACCAGCTCCACAAAACCCTGCGAGGGTACAGCAACACGCCGATGTCGTTCTTCTCCAAGGTAAACACACCAATGATTGCTGATGTTGCTCATCTGTTACCAATGGTCGGATCTTTTAATGCTGAGTGGGCAGATAAGATTATAGAGTCGAGTTACGGAGACATGCACATTTATCTTACAGATAAAGAAACACTCTTTTATTTACTACAGCCTCTGAATTTGGAAAAAGCTTCTTTAAAAGTTCAACCCCAGTATCCCTTGTTTTCATTTGTAACCTTAAGACTACTATTATTCTTTATATTATTTATCTTCATCCTTATTTTGCTACCTGTGGATTGCTTGTATAAACCTTCATAACAGTGTATATGTGTCATGATCTTAACTTACCATAAGCTTCTCATTAGACTAATTGATTTACTAAATTTATCCACAACCTCTCATTGATTAATTCTCTGTCTAGTTACTTTATTAATTCATGAAAATTAGTTGCCGTTCTCTATTCTGATTTTGACATTTATTTACTTGGTCTCTTATTCTGGTGTTCTTATTATCATTCTTACTCTAGAACCTGCTTGTTGTTGTTTTTTCTTTCAGTTTTTCCCAAAACCAAAAGCTCCAACAGGTTACTATATCTACGGTGATGTTGGTAAGAGAGATGGGCATCCATAGTTGCAAATAAATAAAGTGTATCCTTTTTCTCCCGTTAAGTCACATGCTCTATTTTGTCGTTTCAGGCACAGGAAAAACGATGGTGATGGACATGTTTTATTCATACGTTGAGACTGAACATAAAAAGAGAGTTCATTTCCACGGATTCATGTTGGACGTGCATAAAAGTGAGTACTTTTTTTTGTGTAAATTAAGTCCATCATATTTGACTTTATTTACTGCAACAGCCACAAGGGGGCGAATTATTCTTCCAAGATATTGAGTGAAGCCACAAAGAAATGTATGAATGAATAGGTTCAGAATATACATTTCCTCCACATTGTCAGTGAACCAGATTTCAATAAACGTCTTGCCTCTTGGTAAATATTTGGTGTGGATGACCTTTGTTCTTATTGGGTGAGAACATATCAACACACCCTGTTGCTTTTCTTTTTTTTTTGTTATCAATGAGCAGGTTTTAAAAAACATGACATTCAGCACAAATAAAAGTGTATTTAAATCCTCATGAATGGCTGCGACCATAAGCTGAAGCTGTGGTTTGGTCTGCTTCTTTTCATTCATTCATTCATGAATGAATGAAATCACAATGAACCGTGCAGCTCCGTGCAAGTTGTCTTGCTGCTGTGACACTGGGCTTCCTTCCTTTCTATTTGAAGCGGGTCTCAACATAACTCTACTTTCTACTTTCTCCACTGGTGTGAGATGAATTCCTCTCAAATGCAAAGTCTTCAAAGTCTGAAGAGCAAGGCAGTGTGGTGGTTGCTGATCTAAGCTTACATTTCCTGTCTTTGCTGCCACATTTTGGTTTTGTTCCTTTAAAGCACTGCTTTCATGTTGTTGTGTGTATCTGCATGCTGCTGACACAGCACTTCCAATGGGTCCAGTAAAAGTCTTGAGTTTTATTGCTTTGTAAAGTCAAATATATAACAAATAGCTCTCAATCTACATGAGAATATCCCTCACACCATTAACTGACCACCAGCAGCCTGACCCATGCTCTTATGTTGTTTACGCCAAATTCTGATCTTTCCATCTGAATGTTCAGCTGAAATTGAGACTCCTCAGAGCAGGCAACGTTTTTCCAGTCTACTGTCCCACTTTGTCTCAGTTTCCTGTTGTTAGCTGAGTGGAGTTGCCCCCCCGGTGTGGTCCTCTGCTGCGGGAGCCCGACTTCTTCAAGGTTCCACGTGCGTTCAGAGATGCTGTTCTGCCTTTACACGATTGAGTCAGGACTGTTTCCCCTCTGTTTTTTTTTAGGGATCCATCGACTGAAACAGAGCATGCCAAAGAGGAAAGCGGGTAAAATGGCCAAATCCTATGACCCCATTGCTCCAGTTGCAGAGGAGATCAGTGAAGAGGCTTGTGTTCTGTGCTTTGATGAGTTTCAGGTAATTGTCTTTAACGTCCGACAGTAATTATTTTTGAATGAATAACCTTTAACCTCAATAGCGTATTTCCAGTTAATCCAAATGTAGTGTATTTGTAACACACATGTCAGGTGACTGATATCGCGGATGCCATGATTCTCAAGCAGCTCTTTGAGAATCTGTTTCTGAAGGGTGTGGTTGTTGTGGCCACATCGAATCGGCCTCCTGAAGGTAAGTAACAACATCTCCTGATGTTTTCTGTCTGGGTGAATACTGTTCTTGCTTCTTGACTTTATGCCCGTTTCACACTCAGCAAACAACCCACTGACACCTGGCTTTTATCTTCTGTGTGAAAGGCTCCATCTGGCCTTCATTCATTCAATGAATCTGCATCATTCAGAAGTATTTATCTGCTCAAAACGTACAATGCATTTGCTTACTACTGCTTATTGCAAAAACCCGCTTCATTTCTGTTGATACCGACTGACTCTTTATAAAGAGAGACGGAATAAGTTGCATAGAAAATCAAACACGGTAAAAAAAAGCCGAAGGGCGTTCTCGTATAATGTGAAAGGAGTCTGTTGTCCATTTCAGCAGATTTTCTAAGGTTCAAAAAACTGCTCATTTTGGCAGAGAAATTGAATAAGTCATAAAAAAATGTTGACAATATTTTAAATGAGACCACTATGTTATTTGACAAACATGTCTTCTCTTCAATTCGATTCCTCAGACTTGTATAAAAATGGACTGCAGAGAGTGAACTTTGTGCCGTTTATTGCTGTGTTGCAAGTAAGGAGAGATACATTCGATTTTACATTTTGTTAATTTAAAATGCACCTGTTGTTAATTGTTTGTCTCTCACATTCAGAAATATTGCCAAACTCTCCGCCTGGATTCTGGGATAGATTACCGTCGAAGGAACAGACCATCTGCTGGAAAACTCTACTTCCTGTGAGAACCCTGTAAAGTAAAAGAGTCAGTCATCGTGAGCTCCGCTTTGATGGGTCATACGCACGTTTTGCATTTTTAATGTTTGTCTACTGCAGTTCCAGTGAGCCTGATGTCGAAGCAACGCTGGACAAGATGTTTGATGAGCTGGCTTTTAAGCAGAATGACAGTAAGTGGACGCATGACGCAATTCTCCAACTGAACCTGGTTGTCACTCTTTATTTATTAGCACATAAGTGACTCGCGTGGTGTCCTTGCATCCCGTCTCTCTCCACAGTAACACGACCAAGAACCTTGAATGTCAACAACAGGAAAGTCCGCCTGAACAAAGCATGTGGGACCATAGCAGACTGCACGTTTGAGGAGCTGTGTGACAGAGTGAGTCTCTCACACGTCTTTTCAGAAACATATAAATGCAATGACACAATTTTGGCAATACATCTCTAAAAGTAAATCAATCTTTTGGACTATTTGGTGCATTTTGAAAGGCTTAGAACCACTGTAGCCTCCTTTTGTCTTCAGCACGGCCGTCATTCCGACTCGCCCCGTTTGACTGTTACCGTTTCAGCCGTTAGGGGCCAGCGACTACCTGGAGATGTCGAGGCTGTTCGACACCGTCTTTATTCGACACATTCCTCTGCTGACGCTGAACAAGAAAACTCAGGCCAGGCGTCTCATAACGCTCGTGGACGCCCTCTACGACCACAAGGTAAACCGCCGTTGTTTACATCCGCACTCGTTCGCCATTGGTTGGATAACTGTGTCTCTCTTAAGGTGCGGGTGGTGATTGTTGCAGATCATCCGCTGGATGATATTTTTGTGCACAATGGTGAGCACGGCCATGACGAGAGCCACATTCTGATGGACGATCTGGGGCTGAAGAGGGTGAGAGCGCTGTTTTCTCATGTTGGGTGGGGACTTTAAATCGTAGAGTAGACGATTAAGCTGGCTGAGGCTGAGGCTGTCGCGGCTGAAAGTAAGTGTCTTAAACATCTCGGGTAAAACCTCCTCTAAATAAACTGGTTTTAATGATGAAGATCAGTATCTACGTCATTTGCATCTCCGTTCGGTTTGGGTTAAAGAGAAAATGTCCCAAAATGTTTTCTGTTAATTAAGAAAATCACGAATCTTCAAGAAAACCACAGATTTTTCTTTCCTCCAAATTTCATAGAAATCTCTGGACAGCTTTTGGGATATCCTGCTAAATAACTAAATGGACAAACAGGAATACAAATATATTTATACAATCAAGTGCCAATTTGTTGATACTATAGCGTAGGAAGGTTGACTCCACTGATTTCCTCGCGTACGTTTAAATAAAGTAGTCAGAATTAAACGTTGACGGTTCACCTGGCAACATGTGTCGCATATCTGTCCCCCCATTTCCTGTTATCTTTCTCTTAACTCTAATAAAAGCATAACAATCCCCAGAATGTTCTATTTAAATCAAGGAGTGCGTTGTGCAAACATTTGAAGCCTAAAGACGTAAGATGATCTAAACACAGCAAAGATTTAAACAGTAAAGATAGAGTAAATATTTGTGTAGATTCGAAGGGATTTTTCTGTCCAATGTAAACTAATAAAGAGCCGTGTGATCGGTTTGAGGAAGCGTCTGCAGTTTCACTGAACTGTTCATTCAACAGGATGAAGCCAGCAGTCTGTCCATCTTCAGTGGGGAAGAGGAGATGTTTGCCTTCCAGAGGACAGTTTCTCGCCTCACGGAGATGCAGACTGCGGAGTATTGGTCGGAAGGAGACCGAAGCGCCAAATCAAAGGTGTAACGCTGTGAAAAGTGGACCGTGTTACACAACCTCCATGAACTGTACTACTGTCTGCCAAAAGCAACGAACACTACTCCTACTCCCCTTATCCAGCACCAACCCACAGGACCGCTCAACAGTACGTGTGCAAATGTTGTACAGGGAATATTTATTGAAATCTTAAGGACTTTTATTACTTTAAAGTGACCTTGCACTTTCCGGATTATTTTTAATATAAATTTCAGGGTGTCGTATTGCTTTTAACTCTGTTTTATGTAGCGGTCCAACATTATTTACTTATATAAACTTGTGGGAAAGGACTGGACGGCTTTTGAAAGTGGATTCCCACAGGACTTTTATGAAGATTTTAAGGGACATTATGAAAATATAACGAGTTGTCTAATGCAAGCCTGAACACAGGGGCAGCAGATTGATGGAGATTTAAAGCTGCGTTTATATTCTGATGATTTATTAAAACATTTCACATGATACTGAACAATTCCATATTACTATCAGCATTTTCATTTGGTGGATGAAAAGAAAACACAACTTGATTTCAAAATGTTGTTTGCCTTTTTACATGATTATTTTCTTCATTTAGGCTCATTAATACCCACATGTACGAACACAACGAAGAAGTATGAGATGTGAAAGTGAACCAGTTCAGAAATTTTCATGAACCGACAGTTTGTGGTATTTCTTTTAGTGGAATCTGCGTTATTTTGTGTAGGAACCAAAAATGTATGACCTTAGTAAAGCGGTTTGTGTTCGATGCTATAATGCCTTCAAATGTGAATTATATTATGTATTTATTTGATTATGCAACAACAAATCAGCCCATCGTCTCCGTTGGGTCAACTAGTACACAAAGTACTCTGTTTGGGCGTGTTCGTTTGATTGATTTAGCCCAAATGCCATTATACATACAGCCTCGTTTTTAAGTATTTTAACAATGTGAACGATGAATAGATACATACACATGATCCAGTATTTATCCAAAAAATCCCTTTAAATAAATATTTTTTGCACAGGGTTATGTGCTTTGGTTGCAACTTTCATCTTGCAGCAGCAATAACACAGACTTTTGGGGCTCATGTTGCACACAATCTTCTTCAAACGCAGCGAGTGAGGGTATTTTCTATCTACTGGATTCATGCATTCATGCAGTCAACTAACAGCAGACCGCTGCAGCTCTACTGTCGTCTCACAGTCCTCAGAGCTTATCAAGTGATCAGTGATGTCACTGGCCTGCGGACGTCTCCACACTGTCACTTTAACTCCAGTGTCGTATGGGTGGATGGTGTGTGCGCGCGCGTGCCGTTTAGCTTGGCTCGGGCTCGGCTGCAGCAGATTGAATGGAGCGCGCTCGCAGGCTGCTGGCCACACGGAGGAAGCCGCGCGGCTCCGCTCAGCGCGCCGCAGACGTGCACAGCGAGAAGGCGTCGTTCTGGTTCTGGGGCTAGCGCGGATTTGAACCACGCCACATTTCTCCAGTAGCCCCCCCCCGACGACGACCACCACCACCCCGACCACCCTTCTTGCTGCAGGGCCTTGAGGAAGCAGTCGCGGACTGGCAGCTCTCTGCACGGATGATGAAGAACTTGGGACGGGAAACGGTCAAGATGGCAGCTGCGTACGGAGCCATGGCGCCGATGTGGAGGCATTATTAGGCTGGACTCGTTTTCAGTTTTTTCTTCGGGCATGCACGTGTCGCAGGACGCCGGCGCCCGTAGAAGGAGAAGACTGCCCGCCGACTCTTCCACTCGTTTAACTCGCCCCTCCAGCAAATTCCAATGCAACGAGCTCCGTGTGCTGCGGACAGACGCCCCGCGGGAGGACGGACAGACGGACACGTGCTTTAAACATTTGCATACCGTGCGTGGTAAATGACCCGTTTCTGCAACCGCGCACGCGACGTTGATGGAATGCGACCCGAGTGATTTTATAACCCTTTGTGCAGCGCCCGAGATCTTGCGATTAACATGGCCGAGGCGCCGCGCCACGGCGACGAGTCCCCCTCCGCCGTGGAGATAGATCCGGATTTCGAGCCTCAGAAGCGGCCGCGGTCCTGCACTTGGCCGCTGCCCCGTCCGGAGTCCGGCGCGGACAAGCCCGGGACAAATGACACTGACGTAATCCCCGAGGAAGAGGATGACGAGCACGAGGGTGGCGGCGCGCGGAGCGGTGACGCTCAGCAAGTCCGCGGCGGCGGCGGCGGCGATGATGACGATAACGACGATGATGAGTATGGTGCCGGCGGTGGGTCTCGCGTGCCCCCCGGCAGCTCCGTCTCCCAGCCCGTGGAGGTCCAGCGCGGCGCCTGCCACGAGGAGGCCGCCGACGGTTCGCCCTCCTCGGCGCAGACCCCTGCGGCGGCGGCGGCGGCTCTGGGCGGCTCCGCCTCCCAGCAGCTGAGGAAATCCTCCGCCCGCAGGAACGCCTGGGGCAACTACTCCTATGCAGACCTCATCACGCAGGCCATCGAGAGCTCCCCCGAGAAAAGGCTGACCTTGTCCCAGATCTACGACTGGATGGTGCGCTCCGTGCCCTATTTCAAGGACAAAGGCGACAGCAACAGCTCTGCTGGCTGGAAGGTGAGCGGTGACGTCATAGCGAGGGCCACGCCGTGGCCGTGTGTGCACCACACTGACACGGTCGATGGGGAGGGGAGGGGTGCCAACACACAGGTCAGGTGCAGGATGAGTTTGGTGTAAATGGTCATCAGGGAAATGTGGAATGTTTGCACCAAGCGACACGCACTGTTCGTTCTGAGACCCAAATCCCGAGTGCACCAACGAGAAAGTGGAGGCTCGAAAGAGGCAACGCAAAGCTGATTTCGCTTTCGGACCCACTGCAGCAGAGGGGCTTCCTACAAGCTCCAGCGGGGACCAGCTCCCGTTTGATTTTTGGGGATTAGTTTGGCCTGGAAAACCAATTCATCTGTCATGGAATCAAGTCCGGTGAAAGCTTTTTGAGCTTTGCAGGATTTAGATGGCAATAGGTTTGTAATCCTGCAAAACTGTAGGTTGTGGGATGCAGGCGTCTTTCCGGGGAGTTTCTTACCACAGTAACGGTCAAGATTGTGCATTAAAGCTCCACATGACGGGAATAATGAAGTATAAGCAGTGCATGGATGCTAATGACTGATTAGTCTGCACAGAATCTGCTGCTCTGTTAATGCGTGAGATTAGTGGCAGTCATTTTTCATCATGGTTTGGATGCTTGCTCCATTATGACCGTGGTAATCGACATCATTTTGGGGATGAAAAATACGTAATATCACAGGAAGCGTTTGAGGGGTTGGACTCTATACTGTGTGTCTGTCCTCATAAATGAAGCACGCTAGTTGGTGGCTGTTTATCTCTTAGTGCTACTTCACTGCATTATGTGTAATCCACAAGATGAAAGAAGCCGTGTGGGATGTGAAAGTGAGAAAAATCAGCTGCACAAACATGTGTCATCAAGCATCTGTGTGGATGTAATGAAGTGGAAACTAAACCTTCAGAGTAGATGTTCGGGTTTCGCTGCCATCAGCGTTTCCTGGGTGGTGCTTTGTAGCTGTGACATTCAGCAATCGGCCTAAAAGCGAGGTCATCTTTATGATGCGCTGTGTGCACGCACAAAAAAAAAAAAAAAGGCCTCCGTGCGTTGCGGCCTGTAAATCCTGAACCTCCACACCGGATTCAATGGCGACCTTTGTGTGCGGCTCCAACACGAGGTTAAATCTCCTCGCCGTTGTGAATCCAAATAAAAATACACACAGACGAGCAGCCAGAGGGCCCCCCGACCCCCCCCCCCCCCCTCTGCTTCGTGCCACACTGTCCTTTCAGTGGCTCGGGCCCATCGATCAGCTGACTATCGATGATGTGGGTCAGTGTGTGGCGGCGTGAGAGGAGCTCAGTGTTTCTCTGTGGCTCCGGCTGAGCTGGCGTCGCTGCAGCGAGGCCCAGAGCGGCCGTGTGACTGCGTGGGGGGGGGGGGCAGCGATTCAAACGCTGCACGCCGCCGACTGTATCTACCTTGGAAAATGTGTCACGTGGCCGCAGCTTTAAAGGTACGTTAATGTTTCTCTGGTTGCTTCTTTTGTGAGGCCGGACTCGCCGTCTTTAGCTTTGGCATCTCACACACACGTTTACTCTCCAGATTGCAGGAGGACTTTGTTCAGTTGAAATATTAATATTTATGTGGTTTTAGATTGTTTTACTGTTTTCTATTGCAAAGAGTAGCTGCTGTTTCGTCCACTGGCTGCAGTCGAGCACAATGGCCTTTTATAAAAGACCACAGAGTTGAAAGACAACCCTCTCGACAACCATATTAAAAGTGTCCCAGCGGGGTCTTTGTTTCATTACGGGGCTGTTGTATTAGATTTCATTTCACATGTGGTGCTTCTATTGTGTCAACTGGGTTCCTAATGACTTGTTTCTAAAAGATGGTACATCCATTTGAGCATTTGCAGACTAAAGCTGCTCATGCTGCGTTGACACAAGTGAGATCAGGTGTCATGTGATGCTCACAATCTTTTTCTTTTTAATTAGTTCCACCATGTTGCTACTCAAATTCTGCTTAAAATAGGTTTCCTTCCATTCTGCCGGATCGATTATTTTCACTATCAATGAGTCATTAAGTCACCATGTTTTCAATCTGCTCTTGATTGTTTGTTACAAGTCTGGAAATGTGGGACATTTTAAAGCCTGATTCTTGGACAGTTCAAACCCAAAAGATATAAAATGAAAAACTGCAGTAAAGATATTTAATTTTTCAACGCGTTGTCAAGATCGCGGCTTCTTATTTTTATATAATAGGTTTGTCTTATAGTTTCCATCTATGTATGTGTATATATCTCTCTGAAAATGATCTCTTCATTGATGGGGGGACAAATCTTTCCATTTGTGCTGCTGAGATTCTACAATTTGTATTCGGTAATGAAACCAACTCATTTTTAGTTCCCAGATTCAGTGCAACGCTTCCTACTTGTAAATAGAACATAAAACACATCTGTGTACATTCTACCTGAAAGTGTCCAAATCCAGACTTTGAGGGTGACAACGTGGTACTAAACGTGTGGATGTTATGAAGGATGACTGTCAAACATAGTTCAACCCACAATAAACACCCTGTTATCAGATCGTCATGTATGTACACGTGAGAATTAACAAGAAAAATTAAAAACAAGTTCCACGCAGCACTCAAAAGTACAGTGCGTGTTAAAAGAAGTCTCAGGTTGTGGCAAAACTACAAATGACCTTTTTTTTTTAAACACAACTAGCTTCATTCTGTGTCACAATGTGTCCTTTCTAGACCTTTCTCTGTACACGTCTTTGTTCAGTGCGCTTTAAACCGCTGATAAGGCGAGGAAAGCCTTTTCTTTGCTGCTGGCTGTCGCTTCATATTTACCACACAACCTTGAACGGTCTCCTTAAACACGCTTTCAGTAGGAACCAAAGTTCCTCTTTCTGAGTACCACAGTGGAGGGACGTTGGAAAGTTTCCTCTTGTTTTGGTCTTTTCCTGGGATTTTCTAGCGGGAACAAAATACAGAAACAGGCGGCCTCATTGTTTTAAGTCGGCACTTTAAGCTACTTGGGAGATCTTTGTGCATCCCGGCTAACTCGTGGTGGGTGTAAATGAGACAAAACGGCAGTGTAGTAACTTAATGTGTTCATCTCTGAGTCACATGTGCTTTGTTGTTGTCAGTGATCAAAGCGTTTGCCGTTGACCTGATCCTTTAATTGTCTTGAGAGCTTTGCTCCAGGCAGGGAACGTGTCCTTACCCCAAGTGAAGGAGTTCAAGCAGGAGTGCGAGTTTGGCCGGAGAATCTGAGCAGCCGGGGCGGTTTTGCACTCGCTATACCGCACCAAAGGCAAAGCTCTCGATCTACCGGTCAATCTTCGTTCCTACCCTCACCTAGGGTCATGAAGGATGGGTCATGACCTAAAGAACTAGGTCACGGGTACAAGCGGCCGTAATGGGTTTCCTCAGGAGAGTGGCTGGCGTCTCCCTTAGGGATAGGGTGAGAAGCTCAGCCATTCGCGAGGAGCTCGGAGTAGAGCCGCTGCTCCTTTGCGTCGAAAGGAGCCAGTTGAGGTGGTTTGGGCATCTGGTGAGGATGCCCAATGGGCGCCTCCTTAGGGAGGTGTTCCAGGCCCGGCCAGCTGGGAAGAGGCCCCGGGGAAGACCCAGGACTAGGTGGAGAGATCATATCTTTGGACTGGCCTGGGAACGCCTTGGGATCCCCCAGTCAGAGCTGGTAGATGTGGGAAAGGGAAGTTTGGGGTCCCCTGCTGGAGCTGTTGCGACCCGACCCCGGACAAGCGGTTGAAGATGGATTGATGGCTTTGCTGCAAGTTTGTCGGTGGGTCATTGACTCATTGCCTTTGGAGAGCAACTGCAGCCATCGCTCCTCTGTGATCTCCGCAGTCACAAAGCTGTATGATCCAGATTGTGACGGTTATACTCGGCGTTGAGCGTCTTTCCTGTTTGATTAGTTTCATCTTCTGAGGGGTGATTTTAAATACGACCTTGGTTTACGCAAGTTAATTCAAGCTTAAGAGCTTTATGCTGGACCCCCTCCCAATGAGTTTAGCCTTTGGACTGAAGAGATTTCGTCCTCTGCGGGGCGACTCGATGCGCCGCCGGTCGCCAGCAGCGTCCAGCTGTTTAATTTCGAACATTGCATCTCGGGGGAAATCCCGTAAACCATTTAGAGGCAGAAATGGGTCACAGTCTGAGGTGCAAAGGAGAAGTGTGTTGTTCACGGTTCTTTGCTGCTCCAGTTGGTATCAAAGCCCTTTTTCTTGTGGGACGCCTACAGTGTTTTTAAAAGGGTTGCTCTTCGCCCTCCATGGCCGACCTGGTTGTCATCCAGTGACTTCAAATTACCGATAATAACAATCCTGCTAAAAAGAGCCATTTATTACCGTGTGCATGTCAACCTAAAAACAATTTTGCCAAACCAGCTGTCTGAAAATTTGAAGGATTTTTGGGCGTGAAGAGTTTAAAATGTCCAGTAGCTCATGAGATTCAAAAAGAGTTTGAGAGAACCCCAAAAAATACTTAATTTTCTGTCTTCACGTTGTCTTAAAGACGGGATTGAAAGTTTATTGAGCGCAAAATTCATCTACCGATGAAGCGCGATCAGGAGCTCCAGAACAGATATCAAATGGACTTGAAATTAAGTTTTAACCTCAATTATCAGTTTCTCTCCTTGGATTAGTATGTTTAGGCACACATGGTATTTAAGGTTATTTTATATTCGCTTTATTAAACATTCAATTGTCTTTTTTTTTTCTTTTTTTTTTTGCAGAATTCCATCCGACACAACCTGTCCCTGCATAGTCGCTTTGTGAAGGTCCAGAACGAAGGAACGGGGAAGAGCTCCTGGTGGATGGTCAACCCAGAAGGCGGGAAAGGAGGCAAAGCTCCCCGACGACGGGCCGTATCCATGGACAACAGCAAGTACATCAAAGGAGCCCGAGGACGTGCCAACAAGAAGAAAGCCTCGCTGCAGGCCGCCCAGGAAGGCAGCTCGGAGAGCTCCTCCAGCCTCTCCAAATGGACAGGAAGTCCCACCTCCCGCAGCAGCGACGAGCTGGACGCCTGGACAGACTTCCGCTCCCGGACCAATTCCAACGCCAGCACCCTCAGCGGCCGCCTGTCCCCGATCCTGGCCAACCTGGAGCTGGACGAGGTGCCCGATGACGACTCGCCCCTCTCCCCGATGCTGTACTCCAGCCCCAGCAGCATGTCCCCGTCCACGGGGCCCACGGGGCTCTCCGACCTGGCGGGCACCATGAACCTCAACGACGGCCTCTCCGACAACCTGATGGACGACCTTTTAGACAACATCAGCCTGACGGCGTCCCAGCAGCCTCCTCCTGGAGAGGAGAGCGTGGAGGACGATGACGCCGCCGCGGCCGCCGCCCAGGGGGGCTCGGTGTTCACCTTCAGCTGCGCGGGGAGCGGCCTGGGTAACCCGCTCTTCAGCCCGCCGTCCATCACCAGCCTGCGCCAGTCGCCCATGCAGACCATCCAGGAGAACAAGCAGACCACCTTCTCCTGCATCTCGCACTTCGGCGACCACCAGGCGCTGCAGGACCTGCTCAGCCTGGACTCGCACGGCCACAGCAACGTGATGCTCACCCAGTCCGACCCGCTGATGTCGCAGGCCAGCGCCGCCATCGCCCTGCAGAACTCCCGCCGGAACGCCATGCTGCTTCGCAAGGACCCGGCTTCGGTGAACCACGGCGGCGCCGGTGAGGCCCAGAGCTCTCCGGTGCCTGGTTGGCAAGCTGGCTTGACAACCCCGGGCACAGAGGCCGGCGCCGGCGAGGCCAAGCAGCCGCTCCTGAAGTCTCCCGGCAAGAGCGACTCCCTGCAGCTCGGCCAGGACCGATTCGCCGTCGATCTGGACCTCGACGTGTTCAACGGCGGCCTCGAGTGCGACATGGACTCCATCGTCCGCAACGAACTGATGGAGGCGGACTGCCTGGACCTCAGCTTCGACTCGTGCCTCGCCTCCGCCCAGAACGCCAACAGGAAGTCGGGGAGCTTCTCCAGCTCGAAACAGACCTCCCCTCACAGCTGGGTCCCGAGCTGAGGAGCTCGGTCGGGGGGGGGGTGTAAAATGTAAATTTGGGTTCATTGTCCCGCGTCGGGCAACTAGAAGGGAGAAAGTCTGTACAAGTGTATCCGAGTAGTATTCTTTGTTCCCCCGTTATCTCTAATGTGAGAAGTTCAGTACTGTATGTTAAGTGTCCGAGACACACAATGGTGTCTTCACAGAGGAGGGACACACAAAAAAAAAATCTTTTAAAAAGATCAATGCCTGGGTGCTTTGAACAACAGTATCGACTGGGAGTACAGGACATTTTGTTAACGCTATATGAAAAGCATCAACTCGTTTTAGTCTCAGGGAATCACTCATGCAGTGTCACAAAGTGGTACATAATGCTGAAGACGGAGTGTGTCTTCGCCCGGCTTTCTCATCCTTCACACCCTTTCGTACCTAAAACCTGAAACAATTTTGCCAAACCAGCGGTCATCGTGTTGTGAGTGACGGCCTGTTTACAGAAAAAGCTGCAGAGAATGTTACATTATCACGTTCCAGTGGAGGATACTTGACTAGCTCTTTTTTAATTTTATTATTTTAACGTTTCTTTTGAGAGGCTAAATGTTAACGAAGCGCCCCTCCCTCCCATTGATGCAAAGGCACCAAATATCGATCCACAGAGGTTTATGTGAACTGATCTACATTGTGTGGTTATTGTGCGTAGTGTTTATTTTATGCTGTGATTTTAGTGACATAACTGTGAATTCTGTTTCCTCAGACAAGGTGCATTACTGAAGTCTTGATGATGTGGTGTTTCTGCTGCAGATCCCTTTTGACCTCCTCCTCCTCCTCCTTTCACTTACTGCAATATTGGAAGTGCTCGGTAAACCGAGTTTAGGACCGAATTAAGAACCTTGTATAGTAGGAAACCTGACGTAGTTCTAGTCGACACCATTTACATCAGTGAGCTATTGAAAGTAATCACCCTTAGAGGCTCGACAGCATTTTGATGTTCGTTCATTGGAAGGAGTTCTTGGTGCTATAAATAAGAAGATAGCAGGGTGTGGCTGCAGCCCCCCCTCGTGTTATCAGCACTAAAGCAGGTGCTGGGTCAAAGCGTGTTGCCACCTCTATACGAGGAGCTTCTGTAGTATCTTGGAACCATTTTGCCATTTGAGAAAGAAACAACCACGTGGTTTATATATTGCCAAACTATTTCTGCATTTAATAAGTGGTAATAAGAGGATAGTGTGTAGATGTTAGGGATCCGTGCTATAAGGGCAAACAAAATCAACATCAGCAGTTTTGTAGGAACGACAGGATGAACTTTTTTGTCTGTTTACATTTATGTCAATTTTGGAAACTGTCAATTTTATTTCTAAATGTATTTTTCTTTTCCACATGTAAACATTTTGTGCAGTTTTTTTCTCCATACGACGCGTGGTAGAGCTGTGTAACAGCCCATTGGTTTTATGGTCTTTTTTATTTTTTTTATTACCACAGTTTAAGCCTAAAATGGTGTCTTCCTTATGATTTTGAGAAAATCCAAATGTCACCAAAATATTGAAACCCATTTGCTTTTCTTGTTTGTTTTTTTGCACAATTTCTGCACGATGGTGCTTCCAAATATCTTTTTTTTTTTTTTTTTTTTTCCTAGCTTCAAATGGATGATTTTATACCAGCTTGAAGCTCCATTTTATTTTTAACATTAACCTTGAGTAACTGTCACTGCCAACCTTCACACTCACTTTATTCCTATGGCTCCTACAAAAAGAGACACCTAGTTGTGATTCCATTTCCTATCTTGGCTGTATCAGAGATGGTGCATGTAAATAAAGCTTAAAGTACCACTGAAAATCTGGATTTGGTTTGATCTGCCTTTGTTTTATTTCTGTCTAGCGGAATTGCACAGCTGCAGATTTGACTCTGCAGGCAACAAGGAGGCGTTTTTCTATTGGGTAACCACGTCACGAGCTAAGAGCCAATCACACGCTGTATCCAAGAGGAACGGACACGCTGAGATTAAGTCAAGGTTTTTCAGTGCGTGATTTCCGAGGTAGCTCCTCCTGAACAACTGGTGCATAATGGTGTATTTGCATTATGTGCTGTATGTAAAACACTTTCAGTTTAAATGTCAGTATCAGCGAAGCCACGCAGCAGTGACATCATCATCTAACCGACGGGCTGCAGTGTAACATGGGAGCCCTCTACAGATCAAATGCACTCACTGAGTCCAGATGGAGGACAAACGCTTGTGAGGGGGCAGAGACCGGGGAGGACTTGGAGTGTATTTTATTTTAAATGCTTTGATTTCTCAAGTTACTGTGACATGTACGGTTTCCTTTTCTGTCAAATTGGAGCAGATGGCGGCAGATCATCACTGCCATCAGTCCGCTCTAACTTTTGATTTTTATGGCCACAACAATTCGTAAAGTACCATCTCATAAGGTCGCTGACGTTGGCTTCCATCTGCTACCGGCTCCACCACAAACGGAATCTTTATTTGAACAATGGTGCTTTTTATTGCAATTTATTGCTGGACAGTTGCTTGAGTTGAGTCTGCGTCCACCTCTGCACCAGGTGAGGCCAAACAAGAAAATAGACTATCATAAAAACGAGTATTAAATGTTAACGAGGTCTAACCGGAAATTCCGACATATTTTAGAATGAATGGAAATCGCTTGAGAATATGCAAACATGAGAATTCACAAGACTAAGTTGTTTACAGGAGAATCTGTTGTATTTTCTTTCAAAGAATGAGAAGCGAATAAACCCTTCTTGAGGTTTTATTTTTGTGCACGACTTTCCCTCGTCAGTCAGAATCAGACGGACGAGTACGAGGACGCCTCGCCGACCGATCTGCCACCATTCAACCTGCTCAGGGTAAGAGAGCCCTGATGGAGCCTTTTCGGTCGGACATTCTGATGAGTATTTCCAAAAGCTGTTCATATTTGGTTTTACTGTTTCTTTGGATCAGTTAATCTATTTCTCTCAAGCAGCGTTTGTGTCACGTCCAGGAAAATCCAAAGCTTAAAGATCCTCGGTCTTTGAGAAAGACACCAGAAGAACGCAGGTGTAAAGTTCCCGGCAGAATCCCTGGAACTAAAACCGATTCAATACTTATCAATAGATTTGTTTTCGTGTAAAATATGAATCATGTCATATTATTGTATGACCTTGTAAACAGGTCAAGGTTCTAAAAAAAGTCCTCTGTGCTGACGAGAAGTGAAATCAGTGTATTCGTCAAATATAAATTAAAAAAAAGATTAAATGCTTTGGTAAATTGAAAGAAAATTTCAATTAATTTTAAGTAAAACAATGCATTTTTGTACGGATGGTATTGACATCGGGCCACTCTCAGCCCTCCTGCGGCAGCCCGGTGGTGTACAGGTAGGAGACTGTGCCCGCCTGGATCTGGAAGGTCTGTCCCTGGATGTGGTGGCTGGAGATCTGCTCCGTGGTCTGGCTGATGGAGATGGGCTGGCCGCCCTGGCTGCTGATGTGAATGGCCTGGCCGTGCTGCTCCCGGCTCACCGGCCCCATCGAGGCGTCGCGGGGGGCCGCCGGGGGCACCGCCTGCAGCTGCTGGACGGGTCGCTGCGCCATGTGAAGGGGCTGCGGGGCGCCATGGTGGGCCTGCAGGTGCTCCATGGCCTCCTTGCTCAGGGTGATGACGTGCATCTGCTCGGGCTGGTGCGTCACCTGGCCCTGCAGCACACCCAGAGTCTGGATCCGAGGGCTCTGGTCCAACAGGCCTCCCTGAGCGGCCAGAGCCACGTTCTGGTGTGCCGACTGGGTGAGGAGGGTCAGCCCGGGGTGGGCCGAGTCGACCGCGTCCCCCTCCGCGGCTATGATGCTGATCTCCTGGTTCTGACCCGGCACAAAGTCAATGTTGCCCACGTCTCCCGTGACGACCAGCTGGATCTCCTGCTCGGCGGCGGCGGGCAGCTGGTACTGCTGCAGCTGCAGGACGCCGCGCTGGTCCTCCGCGGCGGCTCTCTCCTTGCTGTGCGACTTGGCGTGTGTCCTCAGGTTGTCCAGGCGCGTGAAGGAGAGGCTGCAGCACGAGCAGGTGAAGGGCTTCTTCCCCGAGTGAGAGGCGACGTGCCGCCGCCTCGCGCTGGCGTCAGAGAAGGATTTGTTGCAGACGTTACAGTCGTAGGGCTTCTCGCCTCTGAAAAAGGAGATCAAACATTTATATCTATTAGATTCATGACTTATCTTAAAGATTAAATCTGTTCACTTCTCGGTTTGTGGCCTCTAACAAAAAACACTTTCAGAAGTAGTTGGAAGTTTCTCATAAGAGGTATTTTCCCTTTAAAATATCAGGCAGCTAACAAATTATTATTTTTTGGATACTTTTTATTATCATTTAGTTGTAAACAAATATTTTTACTAAAGTAGGAATTTAAACACACTGTGGTACAGGTAATTTTATGTAAAGAATGTGAATACTGCTCTCTTAGTTTGTGTGTAACTATCAATTAAAGATGCTAAACAATAACTTGTTGTTCTGGAAGCTCCCGCTTTAAAATATACTTCTCACCTGTGAATCCTGATGTGCGTCTGCAGAGTGCTCTTGGCTGTGAAACACTTCCCACAAATCTCACAGGTGAAAGGCTTCTCACCTGTAAGGAGATCATCGATGTCATCGACTGCTTCCACACAACTGCGTGGTTTCAGCAGCTTGTCGGACTTTACCTGTGTGAGTCCTCAGGTGCTTTTTCAGCTGAGCCGTGTCCATGAACTTGTGATGACACTGAGCACATTCTGGCAAAGATTTGCCTTTAACAAGAACAAAGAATACATCAGCCTGCTTTTAGAGGGACTATTAATACCAACGTGCTGCTGTCGACGGGATGCTCACCTGTATGAACTCTGTAATGGCTTTTAAGTTGCCTCTTCTGAGTGAAGGTCTTCCCACATTTATCACAGCCGAAGGGTTTCCCCCCTAAGAACAAAGGCAGAGGGGATTCATGCAACGCAGAGCAGCAGGGAACAAAGCAGTGACGGACCTTTGTGTTTGGTGTTGACTAGGAATAAACTACGACAAAACCATTTCATACAGCATTCATTTGATTCCACTATCTTAAAACCGGATTATTACGTCACTGTATGATGCATTAAAGATGGGGAGAGGATGATCATCCAGAGCATAGTAGCCAATGAAGACCTCTCTGTACCTTGGTGGAGGTTCATGTGCTCCTGCAGGGCGTGTTTGGTGGACAGCGCTTTGGAGCAGACGCTACAGACGAACGGCTTCTCTCCGGTGTGCATGCGCTGGTGGACCAGCAGCGTGTGTTTCTGGGTAAAACTCTTTCCACAAACCAGACACCGAAAGGGCTTCTCTCCTGGGGAAACCACGGTGAAACACATCCAGAGCAGCAACACTGAAGGTAATTGGATCTCTGCGTGCAAACTAAACTGTAGACATGGATCTAAACCATCGACAGCACACAAATGTTGGCAGTCGGTAGTCCATCATGTGTAAAGAGGGAAATTGTGGTGATTTAGTAAATACGAAGAAGCTAAATTAGAATCTGTGAATTTTTTTCATCCAAACAGAAACCTAATTAGCTCAGATTCAAACCAGCTGTCTGATGACCTTTGGCCTCTGGCGAAGTATCCAACGTGTAGGGCGTCTTTCATGAGACTACAACAGCTGACCTGCTACAATGCCCCAGTCGATAGAAGGGGGAAGTTAAATTTTTTTTTAATTTAATATAATTTCACAAACATAAATAAAAATAACCACATTTCATCTGAACACTGTTCCTGAGGACGGCCATTCGGAGCCGAGGCGGATTACCTGTATGAGTCCTCTGGTGAATCTTTAAAAAGAGGTGGTTTTTGAACACTTTGCCACAGTCGTGGCATCGGGGCTCCGTGTTGGGGTATTTCCTTTTCCTGCCCCTCTTCCCGGGATCTTCCACCCTCGCCGTGTCGCCGCCCACCTTGTAGCTCTTGTACTTCACCGGTGGCCGGATTTTGCGTTTGCTCTTGCGGCTCTGATTGGCTCCCGAGCTGCAGTCTGCCTCATTTTTAGTGTTCGACTCTTTAACCACATCAAGGTCCACGTTTGCAACCATTGTTTCCTCTGAGCCCTCACATGTCCCACGCTCGCGCTCCAACGTTTTCTTTGGTCGGCCTCTTCTGCAGCCGGACAGATCTGGAACCACGGCGGCGTCGGCCTTCGCCTCCTCACTCGTGCTCGCGAGCACCTCGACCAGGTCGTTGACCCCCACGAGACGAGCCGCGGCCAGAAGCTGCTGCGCGGCGCTCTCCTCCACGGACACCTGGGCGGTGTAGATGAAATCCAGCACCGCTGCAAACATCGCCGCCGTCATGCCGTCCAGCTGGTAGGTCGACCGACCGTTCTGATCTTCTGCCGTGAACAGGAGGGAAAAGTACTCGCTGCTCGCTGCCAGCAGCGCTCTGTGCGCCTTGTGCTGCACGTCTTCCACCACCAGGGTGACGTCGCACAGAAGGTCCCTTTTCCTGAGCCGGTCCAATTTGCTCAGGATGCTCTGCTTATGGGAGTCTGAATGGAGGACCACAGGTGGGGCGGTCGGGTCTGTCGCTTTATGGGACATGTTCTCGTCCAAACAATCACTTTTCTTCCTGCAGGAAAGGAAAGAGGGAACTTTCTATTGAATCAGGTTTAAAGTGCTTATGACGAGAGACGGAAACTCAATACACTAGTTTTCTCAATAAGTGAAAATGTGTTACTGCCTAATCAATACTATTTAAGAAGGAAAGTTGTGGAAACATCAAGTCAAAGTCAAATCATGTTTTAGGGCTGGAACTAATGATTAATGCTTTAGTTTAGTCTGGCAAAAAACTAATGATCCACAAATCTGATAATCATTTGAATTCATTCATATGAAAGATTGCAATAATACTAAAAACACTAAAGCAGACAGAGTGAATATATTTTGTTTTACTTTTGGTAAAATACCAAAAACAGGAAACTGAATCTTTCAAAATATAAAATATAATCACCAGATTAATTGTTAACGAAAACACTAGTCTGAAATCATTAATGTTCAAAAGATACATTATTGGTGTAAGTTAGAAAAGAAAACCCGATGTTGCTAAAAGCTGCTTTCTTCTTCATAAATGACATAAAACGATTAATTGATTACCAAAGTAATGAACGGCTGATCGATTACGCCTGCAAACAACAAATATCACAGTCACCCGACTAACGTCACACCTTTCATACTTGGTGCATAGCAGCAACACTCGGGTATCATGAACTGATGTTACCTTCATTCAAAGCGAGTGTTTCAGAGCTGCACATGAATCCTGCAGTGATGGTTCGGGTTAGCTAGCCAGCTAACGTTAACTAGCATTGTTTAAAACAATGTTTGAACACAAACAGGCCGAAGCTAGCAGGAATAACAAAGAGTGCGCCTCAAATAATGTCTTACACGGAGGACGCTTCTGTTTGTGACAGGAAACAAGAAGCGTAAGCGCACAAAACACGGCGTAACGCAACACAGCAGTGAGCTTTTAGGACCTTACCTTCTGATTCGGCTGTAGAGGCCAAACGCGACTGACTTATCGCGAGAAGTACGATTCCGACGAGACTTGCCGACCGCTGATTTACACCGGAGATCAAACGAGCTCCTTTTTATATAAAGTAAACCGAATAGCGGAACGTGTTTTATAGGTTTTAAAGATGCATTTAACGACCGTTTACTTCGGGATGTTTGTACACGTACAGTAAGCACGCGGCTAGTAGTAGTAGCTAGTGAGAAATCATCTGGACAAGCGGGCTATTTTTATTCAGTGCACTTGTGTGTAAATAATCGTTGGCGTCGCTGAGGACTTTTAAAGACGCAAGAAACAACCGTGTACTGACAATTGTGCATTGCGAGCTCGAGATCCTGATCACCGTTACAAGTAATAACTGGTAACCATGTACGTCAGGTGGAATTTACATGGGCACGTGTTTTTTTCCAGTGCACGAAAATTCTCCCAAATTGTTTTAGGGTGCAGATAAAATACGATACATACGAAGTTGGATGCATCTAATTTGGTATGCATTGCAGTGATGCATGCATCCTAAAGTGGGGAAGTGATCATTCTTGGTGTGTCTTGAAAGTACGGCTAATGCGGAGTGTTCATCATTATGTTAGTAATAATACACTTGATGACCCATCATTGCGTCATAGGTCCGATGAGTCAGGTGGAAGAAGTTGGTACTTTTCACTCCACTATATCTATTTGACAGCTAGTTATTAGTGCAGATTACGCATAATGAATGATCACTACATCACATACGTATTTGCATTGGTACAAACTGTTCAACAGATAATGAAAAAACAAGCTTTAACATAAATGTTTATTTACACATATATGTATCATGTACATATGTTTGATTGTTCTTGTAATTTGCCATTTTCCTATCGTATGATCGAAACTTCTACTCATGCATTGTATCCGTATATATTTATCTGAATAATGTTTACAGTGGGGAAGAGAAAATAATTGAAATCAGCCAATGGTGTCTTTAATGCTTGTGGATTATTGTTGAACACAAACATCCCAATTTAACAGGAGAATAGAAACTGCTGGAACTTCTCTTATGAAGTCTCTTATGTAACGCATTACAATTAATGATCCTTGGACTGTGCAGTTAGTTATTAAGGTTGATGTTAGTAGATGTGGTTAACCTTCCCATTACAAAGGTCTACAGCAAACAGGCCCAGTGTGACACGATTCTCCACCTGCCGTGTTGCTCCAGTTCGAGGCCTGTCCAGCATGAAAGGTGTCCGGGTTGTCGTGGTTGGAGCAGGTGTGGTTGGCTTCTCCACGGCCGTCTGCATCGCGGAGGCTCTTCCTTTCTGCTCCGTGTCTCTGCTGGCTGAGAAGTTCAGTCCGGACACCACCAGTGACGGTGCAGCTGGGATCCTGTTTGCAGCAGAGTTTCCAGGTGTGCAACAATCTCCCTTTTAACTATGTCATATTTTACAATGTTCCTCAGTTGGTACAAATTTACCAGGATGATAATAGTTTGTAATGTAAATTCATAACCTACCTCCACTTTTTACACATACATACTTTGAACAGTTTTGCTTGTGGGAAAATTTCGATTTTACTCCATTTTTACAACAGATATTCCCTTGGAAAGGCAAAGACGCTGGTTCAAGAACAGCTTCGATCACCTGTTGGATATTGCGCAATCCCGAAACTCCCCGGAAGCCGGAGTAATGCTGAGCTCTGGGTAACGATTGTTCTACCTGCTATAAAAAAAAAGTGATGATTACGCACTTTTAAATAGATCATTTTTTTTGCATCTGGTCTTTGGTTTGAATTCTTTTCCAGCTGGCAAATTTTCAAGGACGTTCCAGCCGATAAGAAACCCTTCTGGTCAGAGCTTGTGATCGGCTTTCGGTCCATGACTGATGCTGAACTGAAAAGGTTCCCAGATCACAAGTTCGGCCAGGCGTTCACAACCATTAAATGTGAATGCTCCAGCTACCTGCCGTGGCTCCATCAGAGGTTGGTCTTCTATGTCAAACGTACACGGTCAGGTCAAAAGGACGTAGGTCATTATTATTGTTGCTGCTAAAAGTTTGAAAAATTCCAACGAATCCAAATAATCTACAGATAATTGCTGTTGAATGTGTGTGTTTGATTCCACTGGAGTAGTTCAAAAGACGCTTTGCAACGAGATCATTTTGTGAAGGTTCATAAAAGCTGGAGGTCAAGTGGAACAGAGGAAGGTCAACAGTCTCCAGGAATTAAGCAACGCCTATGATGTCATTGTCAACTGCTCCGGTCTGGGCTCCAAACAGCTGGCGGGCGACGACGAGGTGCACCCCGTCAGAGGTCAGGTCCTCAAGGTGGAGGCCCCCTGGCTGAAGCACTTCATCAGAGATGGAGACGGAAAGACCTACATCTACCCCGGCATACACTCCGTCACCATCGGGGGCACGAGGCAGGAGGGCGACTGGCGGCTGCACGTGGACGAGGGCGAGGCGAAGAGCATCGTGGAGCGCTGCGGCGCGCTGGAGCCGTCCGTCAGCAGGGCCCGAGTTCTCAGCGAGTGGGTGGGGCTGAGGCCGGGCAGGAGGAACCCCAGGGTGGAGAGGGAGGTGGCGCAGCTGCGGGGCCGCAGGGTCCCGGTGGTCCACAACTACGGCCACGGAGGCTGGGGGGTCACCCTGGCCTGGGGCACCGCCCTGGACGCACTGGGGCTGGTAAGGATGTGTCTTCACAAAATGCCACAACGGGCCAAACTGTGAAGCAGCCCTGCCGCTCAGTTACACGCCAACGACACGGATCTTTACATGAAAACCTAAATTCTGAGAATTTTATGAGATGAAAGCATGTGAGATAATACATTATGGTGAAAGATTGTATTAAGACTAGTTTGTACTGCTTTTTACATTTTACAGTTTCCTCTCAGCTTTGGAAAGATCTACTGGACGTTGACATGTACCAGCATTTACTGATGTGAGAGAAGAACAGTATTTTAGTCTTGTTAGAACTTATACAATGAATGAAAAGGGAAATACTGTACGTAATTTACTGATGTGATGTAAACAGCTGCTCTTAACATCTGAGACGAATGCTTGCTGACTGGGATACAGCTGCTGATGGTGCGGTTGGTGCTGTCCGCTGTGATATCTGAGATCTGCCAGGGCTTCATGAGTTGCCATCAAACTCGCATTTAAGAGTTGAAATGGATGGCAACACATTTGTCATATAAATAAATGTAAAAGAATGTGAGACAGTAAATCTAGCAGTTAATAACTTATTAATAAAGGCTTTGTTTGATGCACCATAAATGGCTGTTAACTCTCCTGTGGGATTATTTCTGTGTGACGGCTGGACTCTTCTACACACGGGATTCAGCTGCATGAGGAACATCCGACATTGAGACGAGTATTCCACGTCGTCCACACGGTAACCACGCTAAGGTTTAGTAATACGAACACAACTACACAGCCTAAAACTAGGTGCATTGTTTGTGAAGAGAAAATGTGATTTATAAAGAAAAAGGAAATGTTGGATCCACGGCAAGCTGTGAAAAAGTGACAACGCAATATTGTATTTAGCTTTCTGCTACAGTTCTCTGCATTATGAGCTCACATGAAGTACACAGACTACAAATCCATGGTTGCATTTTCACAGATTATTACAGTAAATGGAAAAATAAGATTAATCTTAAAGGACAAGTTGTTTTTGAGGGAATCTATACACACAAATGGAATATAATCTTATTTACTTGTTTGAGTATTTGCACCTGAAAATAATTTAAAAAAAAATTCTTGGGATGAGCACACTGCTCCTTTAAAATGTTCTGAAAAAAACTTTGTTCAAGTGTCTGCTATTAAAACAGCAGTTCAGAAGAAACCGTTCACTGATGTAAGCGGCCGGGTTGTCAGATCGCGGTTACAGAACCGGGGCCTTTATGCTTTCAGGGAACCCGGATTCACTGAGGGTTTGGTCGCCGTCTTCTTTCGGTTCATCTTCAGACGCCGGGCTTCAGAACTAGCGGAAACGGAAGAACTCCCACTGAGCCCGTGTGACGAAATGAGGTTCGTGTGGATGAACAAGGTGGGGGTCTCTGGTGGTCCGGGCTCTGGGTGGGGGTTTGGTAGGGGAGGTGTCGTCACATGATGATTGGACCTATCTGACGGAGTTGTGGGTGGTGGCTCTGCGGAGGGGAGGTGGCTTGACTCAATACCGGAGGACGACGTGCTCATCGACGAAGACGTCCTTTTGTCCCTTCCTGAAATAACCAAGTTCAAGTGTGTGCAGTTCATGCAGTGGCCGGTCAGTAGCGATATGGAATTGATTTAATGAGGAAATAGCTGAATGAATGGCAGAGGGAAGAAAAGAAGCAAGCAGTCAAGCCTGGTGAAGCATGGAGCAATTTATTCCTCACGCTCAACCCGACAGAAGCACACTTCAGAACACGCGGAGACCTCAGATCTGTCAGACGTGTTAGAAAGAGTTTAACTTTGACCTTAAACGGCGTTATACCAATTTAAAAAGGCTGTTAACATTTTAATGTGTTTACTATGATACAAAATGCCATAGTTTAACAAGTATAATTATACTATTAAGTAAATATTTTGACTTCTGCATTACGCAGTTTTCAGGCACATGATGAAATATTTTTCCACATTATATCTTACTGGGCTAAAAAAAATATACACACAAACAGTAAAATCTTGAGAGAAAATACACTGTACAAGTGTGGCTGATCTGACGGATTCCAACCACGTGACCGTTGGACATTCACAAGAACCCTCATTTACAGAAGCACAACTGTTCTCATTTTGACTACTTCAGCCAAACCAAATCACCACAGTACGACTGATGAACCTCAGAATAAAGCAGGCATTCACAGTGAATATGTACTGCATTTACTGTTAATGTTTTTTTTTAGCACTATGAGAAAAAAATAAAAATCACACGACTCACCGTTCTCAGCAAATACAAAAACCACCACACAACTTCACATCGGTTTGTGAAGTAGATATATTTTGCTCAAAAAAGGTGTGAAAACGGTCTTCAGGTCCTGCTCAGAATGATCACTTTCAGTGAACCTTGTGGTCCCATTAGAACACAGAACCGTGTTGAATCCCCGTTTGGTTATTGTAGTGAGAATATTATGCTCGTACAGAAAGGAAAGCTTTGTGAGCTCTCAAAGCACTGAACAGACAACATTGCAAAACAGTTGGCAGTCAATGATGCAGGAACAGAAGAGAGTGACTTGAAGAAGAAGATGCTTGAAAAACTAAACAAAAACAGGGCACCAGAAGCGGCGACAGCACAGTCTCTCCAGAAGAGCGGGAAAGCGGGATTTGGCGGCTTTGGCTGCTGGAGCTTCAACGAGGACCGAAGACGGCGCGAGTCTTCCTAGCGAAGGATGAGCCAGAAGAGGAGGTGGCAGCGAGTGTTCACAGGCGACTCGGGCTCTCATTACCGTTATCCAGGTGCTCGTTGCTCTCGTAGCAGCCCGAGTCCCGCGGCGAGTTTCCCGCGAGGCCACGCCTGTCCAGGAGCAGCTTCTCCTGAGAGCCTCCAGACGGGCTGCCTCGCTCCGGGTCGCTGCTTCCTGCAATGCACAGCAACACAGACAGGGGGCGCACGTCACTTATCGTGACCTCCAGGGAGCAGCCGGTGTTGCTTTTGAAGGGTAGCGGGGACAGACATATTAAAATCTTGGCCTCTGCAGTTTGTATAGCAATTTATGTTGAGCTGCATGAGGCTAACTTTTCTATATGAAGGGTTTTCTGTAATCCATCCTGTTACTTTCAAGTGATTCTTATTTTGTCATGAAGAGGAATGAAACCTTTTGATTATATGCATGTGCGCTCTGAGGTCTCAGGGGAGATAGAGCACGCTGTTGGTTACCTGACCCGCCATCATATTCTTGCAGCAGCTCCACTGCGGTGAGCAGCACAGCTCTGTGTTGGGCGTCTCTGATGTTCAGCTCATCCAGGTCCTCCTCCTCCAACAACTTGAATGTGTCCAGATCCTCATAGCCGTTAAATAGGAACGTGGGAAGATGCTCCTGTGGGGAGGCAAGATAACGGGTAAACTGTTAAATGAAAAGAAATCTAGAATGCATTTACTTGACCATTCCCCATTTAGAACTGTTAAAAAAGCACATATATTGTGTTTTCACATCTTGATATATTTAGAGTTCTGTAAATGTTTCTGCGTGTTAAACAGTCAGCAGATGATAAGCGTGGCGCCTGGCCAAGAGACACTTGCAGAGCAAGGCCATCTTTATCGCCTCGCCTCCAGGCCTCATGCTACTGAAGGCTAAGATAGCTCTCGGTTTCAGGTTTGTATATAGCATGGAGACATGGGGGAGGTGCCAATCTCCTCATCCCATTCTCAGCAAGAGAAACAGATTTCTTTAAAACACAGCTAGAACTAATTTATTTAACGATGACAATGTATTCTGTATATAAAAAACATCTGGATTTGTTCTGAATACACCAATTAGTGAGATTATTACTTTGAGGTTGATGCGATCAAGGAGCTCCTCTACAGACGTGGGTTTGGGTTGCCGGGCCTTCCTCCTCCTGCGTGTCTTTTTGGGCTTCGCCTCCTCTTCACTCACCACATCCACATAAATGAACTTGAAGGTGCCGACCTTCCCGTTGAGCATTCCCATCCACGTACCCATGGGAGGCTTACTAATGACATCGATCACGTCGCCACTCTGCAAGACGAGACCGGCGGAGCGTCAGCTCCTCATAGGAAGTCATCTCTACGTGATGCGTAACTTCCAGTCTAAGTGAAAATGGGAGCGTACCTTAAGTTTGAGCGAATCTGTGTCGTAGGGACTGGGGGTGAAGTCCGTGTGAACTCGAGCGCGTCCACAGAAGGGTCCGCGGTACGGCAGCTCATCCTCTTCCCCGTCCTCAGACTTTACACTCTCTCGGTTGCTGTTGGAGGAGTCGGTGGTGCCCACAGTCTGACCGCCTACACAAAGCACAGCAATGACCGCATGGGTCTATCAGTATTTAAAATAGATTCGTAATGTCTTGGTTAAGACCATTCCAATAGCAAAGGATGACCGTGAAACACTTCTGATAAACACCACACGTCTGGTGTTGCAAGGTCAACCTTAAACAAACACAGAGAATGATTTGCAGCACACCCAGATCCGGCTCATGCACACTATAAACACGCCGACTCACTCATGGAACTTTGGCCGCTGAGGGAACTCCTCAGGCTCTCCACAGACCCTCCCGGCTTCAGCTTGTGTTTCTCCAAAGAGTCGGAGTCCGTCTGAGGCGAGTGAGGGCAGCTGCATATGCGCTGCGGGCTCGACTAGCACACAGAGAGAAAGTTAAATAAATACTTAGGGTTCACAACATGAGCCAGTAGCGCTGACAGGTGCTGCTGTAGAGTACGTACCTGCTCAGAGAGAGAACAGTGGTATCGCTTTGATATGTGTTTTCGCATGGATTCTCTCACAGACTTGACTTTTTTGCCGAGGGAAATACGGGATGCTGTTGGAGACTTAATGAGATCCCTCACCCCATCTCCGTCTTTATTCTGACATACATACACGAAAAGCAGAAAATAAGGAAATAAAAAAAAACTATTTATTTTGATCCAAGTGCACAAAAATTCCGTAAGAAAGAGCGTTACGTACAACGTCGTCATTGTTGGAGATGACCGCATGCAGTGAGCGGTTGGTCAGGTCAAAACCTCCGAAGCTACAAGCTCTCTGTATCAAATCAAAAACAAAACCAGGATACTCTTGAGTAGAGCTGGAAGTGCAGTTTGTCAGAGCACGCATCCGTCCATCTGATGCAGCTGCCAGTTCTGTCCTTCACTTTTGCTCCAGTTTGAATTTTTATTACGTGTGGCAGATGAGTTCCTACAGCAGGTCAGGTCACCACAGATCCCACCAGGGGAAAATACTAAATCACTCTTAGAACCACCAACGGATTAGATAAAAATAGTACAGAATGACCCCTGTAATTTACTGAAGAAGTAACCCATTGGTGACTGAAAATGTGATTTAAGTTATATTCAAATTGAACGATCAGGGCAGGTGTTTATGCGATGACTGCTGGGCGTTTGCAGAATATATAAATTCAGTACTGCAGCTTTCACACCTGCCAAAATAACACTCAATAAAGGCTGCTATGTACTCACTACTCACCCCGTGTTGACTGAGTGGGCTGAGGATCCGGTGACGGAGCTCTCCTTCGGTAACAGAGCGAGCGATTTTAGGTTCCTCATTATCACAACCCTCCATTTCAGAAAAGGAAGAGCCAGGGCCTTCCCCTGCCTCCCCCACGTCCACTTCTCCACGAGTCTCCTTATGAACAGGGCTTCCACTTGGCTTTTTAAAGGCCTGGGACATCTTGTGGCTGCTGCAGGTGTCCAGGCAGCTGGAGGAGGGGGAGGTGGTCAATCTGTCCCTGTCGTAGGTGAGCTGGTCCCGCAGAGAGGACGCCAGGGAGTCCACGGGGCAAACAGTGAGCTTCTTCTGCACATCAGAGTACAGCGAGGTGCTGGCGTCTCCAAAAGCAAGGCCATCCATCATTGGGCTATCTGGAGAGTAAAAGGTGGAGGATGAAGGAGGGTAACAATGTAATAGAATGTCAACATATTAATGTGAAATGCAAAGATAAGCATTTCTTTGCAGTTTAAGATTGAACTTCAAATTGTATTAAATATCAGGTTCCAGTTACTACAGATTACCCGAACTACAGATTAGTCCAGTGAAACTAATATTCAATCTGCTTTTTTTTGGCCATTTCAATGTATTGAAATCAATTGATTTGATTTATTGATCTTTCTGTAAAATTCTTCTATTTTATGACTGTGAATCAGAGATGATTGAATAGATGCAAATGCTGCCAATTCCTACTTGAACACTGTAATGTTGTGCATAGACCGTAGGCTACAAGCTTTTTCAGATGCTTTACCAGCAAGCCAATTTCCAAATGTGCTAGAAAAACAATGGAAAAAAAGACACTAAAGGCCGTAAATACTGTTATTCTAATTGCAGATTCTTAAACAAACAGTAATTAGATCACGCACAATTACTGACATTTTCTCTAGACTCACATTCAGCACTGTGGTGTTCATCTTTCTAAACAGTGTGTTTTTACTGTGAACACCTGACAGTTCTAACATCCAGGCTGCACTCGTTTAAACATTAGTTTTTTTTTTAGAAGACATGGGCTTAAAGAGATGAAATCTGATGTTTTTTGTACCCTCTGCTCCAGGCTTCTTGGACTCATCGATTCGGATCAGCTTCTTCTTCACCTTTCGGGTTGAGTTGACCAGTTTATGGAGTCTCCTGAAGGTCACAGACTCCTCTTGTTCGTTGTCTGACAGGTCACAAGGCTGACAGGAGAGAGCAGAAAGAATCTTAATCACAGAAAACGGCAGTTACGTTAAAATAACACACCGGGTCTGTACGTAGCGGACTGTCACCAACCGAAAGGCCAATTATTTTGGATATTTTTACACTTTTACTGCCTATATACTGCAGTACATGAGCTCTCGCATTACAAGACATATTCAAATAATAAATAACTTATTTTATATAATAAACAAAATAAGCTGTGTGCATGCAGATGCTACCCGCTGAGGATTCTGTACAAGCGACTTGTAGCTTAAAATAAACATGTCATTAGAAACCACAGTGTGGACACAGTGAAACTCATCTAAACCGGTGTCCCATGTGCTCTGCATCACGATGCACTAGAAAAGGCTTCCTATCCGTGAGAAACCAAAAGGCTAGCTTATAAATCACCTTAACCTTCAAATGAAATGATGCTCAGTGAAACGGTTGGTGGTTTGTTTGAGCACTTGGGTCACAGATGTTGAGGTTTCAAGTCCACAGCCCAAAACACAAGCGGTATGTACCTCCCAGAATAGACGGCAAAAGACTAAAGACTAAATGAAAGCAGATTTTAAATACACCGCGACAAGTCAATGCAAGTAGACAAGGTCTACAATTAACAAAGAAACGACAGGGGAGGGGTAGGAGACGACATAGAAAGAGAAAGAGAAAAGAAAGAAAGAACAAACACCCACAGCAAAGGGAAATAGTCAGGCCATCCTGACCAATCGGAAAAATGTGCCCGGAACCTGAGCCCCTAATCACCTCACCCGTGCATAAAAGAGCTGCGGCCTGCATAACCGGGCCCTGTGCTCAATCCAGTCGCCCACTGCACTACAATAGGGGGTTAGTGCTTTGACAGTGATGAATAGAAGTTTGCCCAGTCGCCTGCAGTTGGGAGAGGGCCCTGAGCTGAAGGGCTTTAGAGGGGCCCGGTTCATCGCCGGGACAGAGGGAGAGGCGACGTCAACAGCTCGGCAGCCTTTGCCCGGAGTTGTGATTCGACGTCAAAGAGCCACGAAGATGCCCACGAAGGCTGGAAGCTTAGAGACTTACGCTGCAGTTGAGCGACTCATTGGTGGCGAGGCTGGAGGAGTCGGCGCATTCTGTGGTTTCGGACCTGCACGTCTGTCTGTTTTGCACTTCAAACTCCTTCAGCTGCAGAAAAAGACGAGCTGTTTATTAGTTAGATGGCTAATGTGTTACTCAACCTTGAACAGCTGGCCGACACAAAAGGATTAGTTAATTTTTTTCATGCAGACAAACAACCAGGAAACACAAAGATAGACAGACTGCATTTCTTTTTTAATTTAATTTAAAAAGGTCAGATGGAAAAGGTGTTTTGAGGTATTTAATCTGCAACATTTAGTTGTCCACAGCTAACTCTTAAGTTTAATAAAAGGAAGAAAACACGGTCTGAATTGTGGTGAGAGTTTGGATGTATGACATCATACCCTAGCCAAGGCTTCCTCTATAGAGATCATATTCTCCTTCACCATCATCATCAGCTGGATGCGCTCTTCATCACTCATGGTGACCTCGCTGGCCACAAAACCAACGTCATCACCTGTCAAGTAAAAGTAGAGAAGTCGGCTGACGGGACTAAACACAACGGACTGCTTTAATCAGGCATCGTATGAAAACTAATCATAAATGTCACATGACAATATGAAGCGCATATGTTCACGACGTCATATCATTCTTTTGTGTTATTGACTGAACATACCTTTTGAGATCTGACGCAGCGCTGCTTTCTGTGGCTTTCGAAAACTCTGCCATAAAGACCTGTTCTTTCTCTTCCCGTCCAATTTTCCTGCACAGCACAACAACTCAGATTAAAAAGATAAACAGCATCCCCACAAAAAGGGACAGTCATAAAACATATAGGGAAACAATAATAACTCCCTGGGTTACAATTTGGTCATAATACAGAGATATTTGTTTAAATTGTCCCTGGACGTTCTCATTACTACCACCAAAGAAAAAAAAATGCTGGATTAAAGTTCCTTACAACCACAAATCAAAATAAGCCTCAGTTAATATACATCACTCTGCCTTCACTTACAATGAAGAATTAAATTTACAACAAATGTGATAAAAACAACTGCAACTTGCCTCCTGATCCATCATCCGAGCTAGATTTCTGCACAGGAAACCTGAAAATCCCCAAAAATATTTACTTAATTTGAACCGTTCAAACAAGCAGTAGAAGTCCCGAAGAGAACAGTACCTGTTTGTCAAAGTAGTTTTCTTCATTTTCTTTGCAATCCCACCATATCCCTCAACATGTCTTTCTACCCTCTTCACTTGCGTCAGATCCAAGACAAAAACAATTCAGTCAAGACGGAAGAAAAAAAAGTCCGGCTGCTCGTGCTCGATGAACAGAGGTCAGTGCTCGTCGGCCATCGCACGAACAATGGAGCCCTTTTCATGTCCAGTCAGGGCTTTGCTGCAGCAGCGCTAACGTGGCCTCTGCATTCTCTGCACACTTTTACCCCCCCCTCTCTCTCTCTCTCCCCCCCCAACGGTCTCTCTGTCTCTGAGACTATTCGCACTTGTTGCTGTGGTCGGATGGTGTTTATATTTGCGGCTCAAAACCTGTACTCTATTTTTGTTGATAGTGTTAAGAGGTTCTCTGAAAACAGCTATGAAAAAATACCCGACCAACTCAGTGAAATTACTTCATCATATGCAAATTATTTTCTTCAAGACAAATCATTCTATACAACGGTTTCATTTTGCTGACATTGAAAACATGCGGCCTTAAGGCGCAGTTGTTGGATTGCTTTTCAGTAGAGACATCGTCAGTGTCTCGAGCGCATTCAGTCCTCCACGAATATATTTTTAAATAATTAAGTCTTGAACATTACAAAATTAAAGTGTAGAAGTATCTACGGGTTGTCAAAACCTCATATTCACTTCATTTTCATCAAAGGAGCATGAAAGCGGCCAAAGAACAATTTGCTTTTAGAACAATCTACAAAGCCAACTGACCATAGCGTTAAATACTTTGCTGTGAATCTCCTTCCAACAAATGTGTTTATGTACTTGATAATAAGGTCTTCTTCCTACTATAAACAAATTGCTCACTTCCAACAAGCTTCAGCAAATCAAAACGTTGCTGTATCATTAGTCATCATCATTTATTCATGGTAAAATATGACTAATCTTTAAAGTCCCTCAGATGACAAATGGAGAGAACAAAGGAAGTGTGTAAGTGACACAGGAATGCTTCAGACATGCTGCAGGAAGCAGATGAAAGGTTCCCGTCCTCAGAGAGAATAGGATTTTATGTTGTCTATATGACTAATATTAAATGATTGTAGTCTAGTCTGTAAAGCCACAACACTTACACACCATCTGGAGGAAATAATAGCCAAAGCCATATCAATCAATTAATTAATATGTTAACACAATGACTGGTGCTTTTAAGTACCCCTTGAAACATTTCAATGCTACAGTCTTGGAGTCTTCTTTACAGAACTGTATTACCTTCTTTCAGTCTCTGGTGTGTTTGTCATACTGCTGAGCCCGAGGGATTCCTTACGGAGATAAAAAAAAACATTATACATAAACTTAAATAGTAAAGCAGTAGTGTGCTTAAAAATAACAACTGGTTTCAATATATATCGTTTTCTTCTCTATGCAAAAGTAATTTCATATCATGGCATTTTCCTTCTCACTTTAAAAAAAGAGGAACCCTGTAATTTGGTAGTAAGCTCTCTGCATCCCCAGCAGTCAAGTGTCTTTATTGCTCAGGATAATAATGACAAGGCAATTCCATTGTCTCTGGTAACCGTGCTGACGCACACAGGAGGAAGTGGTCGGACACACACACACACACACAGAGCTGGACGCTCACCTGGATCTGAGAGCGGAGCTGCAACGACGTGGCCACTGAGTCAACGGTTCCCTGAAACACACAGGCAGCGGAAACGGGAGAGTGAATTACAGTGTCATCATAACACAGAAATAGAAACAATATTCTTTTGACTGAAATCGGCCACTTCTGTGTCCCCGGCCCGTGCAAGACAGACGGTGTGGAGACATATAAGAATCGCATAGCAAAAAAACCCCAGACGACTACACCGCAATGATGTAATGTCACACATTTCAAGAAAAGTTTAACACAATCGTTTACCATCTCTGCGTCCTGCACTACTTTGCGTTTCCGTAGCTCCTCCATCCTGTCACACACGTCGCTGAGCGAGGTTCCGTAGTACTGAGAATACTCCTGAACCAGATCATCGAGGTTCCCCACAGATCCATCCTGAAGGAGATGAGGAGACACATAAACACTCGGGCGCACACACACGTACAGAGCAGAACAGGAAGACGGCAGCCAGCAGAGGTCGGCGGCCATCGGCAGGCAGGCCCTGAGAGCACAGACCACTGCAGCCGTTCAAGCCATTGTCCAGCCACCGGGAAGACAAACAGCCAGGAAACACAGAGATAAAGCTCCGCGAGCGTCAATATATCAGAGACATCCAGCTGGGATATTGCCCCAGTCTTCGGTCGGTTGCCTTCCTGCCCAGTGACCTCTTCCACCTCCTCAGACGTGACCCCCCCCCCCACACCACCTCCTCCTGGGGCCAGAGGAAGCACCGCTTGACGCAGCTACGACTCACTCAGCTCTCCAACAGTCGTGGCGAGTCGGCTCGAGAGGTTCAGTCCAGCATAAATCACAAGGTAGAGGCACCTTGTCCTCGCGGATGTAACCCTTCTTAGTTTCCTACAATTGTTATTACCTGGAACTATGTGTGTTTTGCCATTCAGGAGGAATACATCATATCAGTTTTTGCTGACTTTTGTGACCTAATGACATCTTGCACCATAATCAGGACATGGGTCTGGTTCCTTTGTTAGCGGATTAACCTTAGCGTCAGATAACTGTAAACTCTTTCAGTGAAGACAGGGACGAGCAGGAGCAATCCTGAATGACGCCTTCCAACCTTTTGTTCACCGTCTAAATAAAAGAGAGTCACATTCATACGCAACACATTTTCATTTGCAATACTTGAGGAAAGTAAAATGCTGCCCGGGTAGCACAGCAAACGGTGTTCAGATTTATTTCCAAAATGTAAATGTTATAATGTTCGGAACAAAATCAATATCGATAATGAGGAGTACAATTAAACCTAATTTATTACTACTTCTGCAAACTTTGTTTCACACAATTGGCATGAATCCTTCAAGACTTAAACAGTTATAGATAATTGAAAAATTACAGTGTAAATTAAATTGTAGTGTGACATGAGTCACCAGTTTAGACCGATTAGTCCGATTGGACGGACAAATACAAGCCGTGTCTGATAACAGCCATCCACTATGTCCACAGACTGTTTCCCACACGATGATTACAATTATTATTATGCTTCACTTGTGCTTTACCCTGAGGGTATGCAAAGTGCCCGTCGTCTGCAGTGGCGAGCGATACTGTGTGCTCGCTTGTCTCGTGGCACGACGGACTGTGACTGGCTCAACTGTCCAGAAAAGAGGGCCTTTCATCGGGTGAATGACATGCCCCCGGCCTGAAAATGGCTTGAAAAAAAGAAATCGGGCTGCTTTTCATACAGTGGAGCGAGGAGGACGACTACGAAGGTCTGAACTGTGGCTGGCTGCAGCCGCGCTCTGCTCAGACTGCCACGGATCCACATAAACAGCCTATTGTGGCTGAGCCACATGATACAGCACGGCCCCGAGCGCCCGTTAGACACGCCGCGTCTTTACGTCAAACACATGGATTATAACAATATAGGACTAACCGACAAGATCTGTTCCATTCTCGTGCAGACCATCCTGACAAAAATGGGTTTCTGGGGAAAATATGGCTTTACTCTTCCTTGCTCCCTAATTAATGGGTCTCTACGCCAAAAGAGCAGCAGCATAAAACATCAACCGCAGAGGCTTGAAAAGGAGAGTGTGGTGTCACGTTTCTCAGGCGCTGAGCATCTCAGAGGGAGACAAAAGATCCACGTGCCCCCGGGGCAGAGTGTCTAATGAGAGTTTTTAAAAGTTCCTCTGTCTTGCCTCCCGGTTTTGGGCCACCAGACCTGGGTGACAAAGTGTCAGCAAAGGATTCGTGTCACTCGGAAAACTCCGGAACGTTCCAATAACACCACGACTGCCCCTGATGATACGTGCTGTGAGAATGAAGTTAAGTAAATTACATTTTGAACTACATGAGGTTTGTCAGAAACTGTATCACACAGACAGATGTACCAAAGCAACAGCGTGCTGAAAAAGGCTTCGTAAAGCTCAATCCACTGAAAGGTTGCTACCAAAGACTTGCACTCATCTGTTCAATCCAACAACAACATTATTACTTAATGTCACACTGACATTCTAGTCCAGCAGACGCTGTTCTGAACGCCAGCGACTGTGATAGACTTGCTGATGTCTCCAACATTGTATTGAGGGACGTTTCAAAAGATCCCGAGAACAAGCGGCGACTTGTTTTTCTGTCAGATGAAAGTCTTCATTAACCGCAGAGAGCAAATGACCCACGCTACCCCCCCTAACCCACAATATACCAAGTTGCCTTTTTGAAACAAGATATACATTTAAAATTCCCCCCCGTGCATCTACAGTAACCAGCTCAGCATTCCGGTGCAAACATAAAAATACACTCACCACAAACAGGCGTCTGGCTGCCGACAGAAGCTACGAGCACCCGGTGCTCCTCAGCTCCACCTCACTGCTGGAAGTGAAAGGCACCGTGTTGAAAGTTAACTCAGCTCAGTGAGTGGAGGACAATACATCCTGAAGAGAAGGGGAGGGGTGTCCGGCACGCATAAAGCAGGGGGGTGGAGGGGGTGTTGCAACCACATATGACGCTGCTGCTGCTGCTCCTGCTGGGTGGGGCGCTGTACTCTCTCCAGCTGCGGCCCACAGGGACCGGCTGACTCACAGGCTCAAATAAACCAGCACCTCTTAGTGTGTGAGAGTGGGCCTGCATCTTTACGTCTGCAGCGGCTCTGGACTGATGTGTCTGGGTCTTATTTGGGATGTTGAATATTGGACCGATGTGTCTGCGGACACGGAGGCGCTGACCACAGACTTGTACTTAACCGCCGATGACACAAATAGTTATGTTACATGTAAATGCCTTTTCGCTCTCAGTTCTCCGTTTTCATGTTTGCTGTAACTGTGTTGGAGGAGCACAGTTACAGCAGCGTGCACTGCCTTCTGTGTGTCCCTGTGTGCTTGTATGACACAAACTAAACGGCAACCATGGTCATGGTCCAAAACCTTTTAGGAACAACGGTGCATCACTATGAACAAGAAATATATTTAGATCAAATATTCATAATTTCTCCATCAAGTTGATCCATGACGAGTCATTTGTCAATGAATGAATCCTGGTAGAAGTACCCCAAAGAAGATACTTTAACCATTTGCTTTCTTGTCCCCATGGTTCATACACATTTTAATAAATAATCAAATATCATTGAAACAAACACACATCACAGAATCACACATGTCAAAGTCAGGCTTTTGGTACCTTACTATCTTTATGAAAACTAGCAGTATTTACACCAGCAGGTGGCGGCAAAGATCTACTCAGTCTCCAATGAGCCATCCGTGGAAACTAGTCAATTTAGAGTCACCAATTAACCTAAAACCCCAGAGGACGTCTTTGGACTGTGGCAGAAAGGACAGAGCCCACAGACACGAGTAGGACATGCAGACTTCACACAGAAAGACCGCTGCGAACCCAGGACCTTGCTGTGAGGCTATAGTGCTAACCACCACACCACTGTGCTACCTATGGTCATTACCTCGGAGTTTTCTAAAGATGGAAATTGTGTGAAGGGAGTTGACAATTATTTCCCATATCAGGCAATAAAGAAAGTGCAGTGATGACAAAACGTTCTCTGCGCTGTAATAAAACTGCCGAACGCCCAAATCAACTCGTAACGGACTGCCGCAGAGGCGTCAGCAGATCCAGAAGGAGCATGTTGGGATTTCCCTCCTCTGCTCATTGCTGTAGTGCATCTACAAAATGAACAAACGCATCCTGACATATCCGTCAGACGTTGCGTATCGGGCTGCTGACCTTGTTTCAATGGCGTTAGTCAGCGAGATTACGTGTGGGCAGCAACTACGTCTAATCGGGACCCTACTGTCTCTAATCTCCATCTTCAGCAAGTGACCGCTGACTCCAGAGAAGTGAGGAGCGGCAGCAGGATGCTGCAGTACCGGTGTCAGATCTGCTGCAGGAGGCTGCAGATTACGCCGAGCTGCAGATGGACGGTGGCGACAGCGCCGGGCCCCGTTCTGCCAAAGGGCCGAGGCGGCTCGTGCCAGAAAGGGGAATTTTTCGCCCGGTTGCACAGCGGCGGGCCACTGGTCCCCCCGGAACACGGGGGATGGACAGCCAGCTTCTCTCCAGCTTGTCCTGAGTTTGACCCACTGGGGAGATCAGTCTGTGCTCGAGTGGGGTGAGAATCCCAATGAGCATCTGTGGAAAGTAGGGGTGTAACGATTCATTTTAACAATGATTCGATTGGAATCGCGATTCATGGTTGCCGATTTGATTCAGTGACTTAAAATCGATTCAGTAACTTTACTGGACAGTGCAGGCAAAGTTTCTGAAATCCTTGTTGTTTCTTGTAAGGAAATCAGGTTTAACTATGGATATTACAAACAAGCAAACAACAATTAATGGCAAATGTATTAACCTTTTATTTGAATCAAGTGCCATTTTCAATGTAAACATTACACAATAATTACACAATGTTTGGATCAATTTACAGAACCCCGGATTTTCAACCACATTGTAGGGTCGCACGTCTTTACAGCTAATTTAGACTTATTTATAACACCTCCATGTTTGCAAAAGCCAAAATGTTTCCACACGCTGGATCGATAAGTTAGTTTGTAAATGTCTCGCTCTCAGTCGTCTCCTCCACGCTGTGTTTTGTTGTTGTTCAGAGTTTCGCGCGGCTGCCGCTGCGTACTGATGACGTCACAGACAGACAGACAGAATCGAGTAACGTTTAACGTGTCTAAAGTGCTAAAAAACAAACACACATCCATACCGTTTTTGTGCTTAAATCCAATGTGCAGTTTCCAAGTATTGATACAAATCGATTATCTACCATTTCAAATCGATTTGTAATCGATATATGTCATCTGGAATGCCGATTTGCTGAGCACAGATTGATTCAGTTGGATCGCAGGAATATAAATCGATTAATCGATTCAGTGGATGAATGGTTACACCCCCAGTGGAAAGACTAGCGCACATGATCAGGGACCAGATCA